TGTATAATACAACCAAAGTGTTTGCATGTCTTGATGAAGAAACATGCCAAACATTGCCTTACTGGTTAATAGTGTAAATTTAGCGTTTGAAAGTCAAAGTTGTCTTTTATAATCCCTTTCCCTTATTTCTTTAGGAAGAGTGATGGGAATTGAATAACTATGACAGTTGTAAATTTGTTACTCCCTACATAGAAGTTATGTAATAAGTCTTCAATTAACCTCTGCCAAAATCTGATAAAACATTTTTTAAATGACTGCAGAGTCATTATAGTTAGCAGAGTTCTTAAGTAAATATTTTCCTTATGAAGAAAGTGAGGTTGTCTCATTCAGTGTTTGAAGTGACCAAAAGAGACCAGTTCAATGGAAACACAGAAAGGACTGAAGAGACACGTGTAACTTAAACTTGGAAACGAATTAAACTCACTTTGTCTTTTGGCATGGCTTAGCATAGAAGTAAACCTTGTTTATCATTTCTAGTTACCTTAATTTAAGTTCATTTCTAAGAGAACTTTGTATGAATAGAATTAATGCCTTTGTTACAGTCTGACTAAAAATTATTCCGTACACTATATGATTTGGAAATAGGCCTTTGCTCACAGTTCATGTCTATGAAATAAAGTGTTGCTATGATATTAAATTTCAATAATATTTAGCATTTTATATATATGTATGTGCTTCTGTCTATTTTATTTGCTATGCTAAAGACCCTTTAGTGATTGTCTACTCTAAAAAAAGTTTCATTTTCCTAACATAAGGATATTTTTAAAAACAGCTTGAGTTATAATTTACATACCATACAATTATGTACCATTTAAAGTATAATATACTTTTTCTTGTAGAATCAAAGAGTTGTACACGTATCACCATAGTCAATTTTAGGATCTTTTCCTCTTCCCCAAATGAAACTGCATGCCCGTTAGCAGTTATTCCCAGCCCTTCTCCGGCCTCCAGGGAACTCCCAATGTCTTCTGCTTTTCTCCTTTCTGTTTTGCTGTGTTTCTCCTCTTGGTGTTTCGCCCTGGCTCCTCCCTTGTTTTCCTTTTCCTTGTCATCTTGCTGTGCTTTCTGCTGGATTTCCTGAAATTTGTCTTACAGTAACCTAATTGGAGTATTTATTTACTTTATTAATTTGAATTTCTGTGAGCTGTTGAAGCTACTAATAAAATAGCTTATGTATAGTAATAAGATATATAGTGAGTGTACAAAGAGTTACACATATTTAAACAGTACAACTTGGTGACTTTAGAGATAAGTATATATCCATGAAGGCACCATAGTCTATGCCATAAACATACTGTTACCTACAGAAGCTTCATCCTCTCGTTTGTTTTACATGAATCATGCCTTTGGCCGTGTTTCTTATTCTTTGTACAAAACAGTGGGTTTTATTAAGACATTTTCAAGAATGTATATGAGATATTCTGATCTTATTCACTCTGTTACCCTCTCCTGAAATAGTCAAGTTCATAGGTGCAGAGCCTCCTGGGATTATGTAGAGTAACTTTGTTGCTTCTGTGCTGCACCCTCCCCTCCTTCTCAGCTTCCTGAGTAGGTGAGAGATGGATGCCTGTTACCACCCAGGTATTAGTTCTTGTAGATTTATACTACGTAAAAAGCAAAAAAGCAACCTTATTATTCACACTTAGAACTGTAGAAGAAAGTGAAAATCTTCACTACCTTCAATCACTGTTCATCACCTTCCATGAAAGGAACCGTGCCTCTGTTTTCACTCCCATCATCCCCACAGCTTTCATCCTTCACTGTGACCCTCTGTTGATTTGTTTAAAATATCCTGGAAACTGTCTTAGCTGACTTTCACATAAATGACATGCCAGGTTAATGAATGCTGTCTGTTCTCTCCAAAATACACTGTGGATGCCCCCTGCTGAAAACAGAAGCTGCTTTTCAGTACACTTCTCTCTAAGAATCCATGGTAGGGCAGTTCCAGGATGCGCCTAGGTATCAAAATCTGAGGTTGCTCAGGTCCCTAATATACAATGGTCTAATGTTTGCTTATGACCTAAACATATCCTTTGTTTACCTTAAGGCATCTCTAGATTACTTTTAATATGTAATATAATGCAAATGCTATGTAAATAGACAAGAAGTTCATGCATGAAGTACAGATGCCTTTTCCCCAATATTCTCTCTGTAGTTGGTTGAATTCAGGGAAACAGAACCTGTGGAGGGTTGAATATGTTTCTGGGCTTTTCTTTGACCAGTTAAGTTGTATGGGCTTATAGGAGTCAGTTTATTACACTTTAAAGAAATGGAAGGGAGGCAGAGACAGGCAGATCCTTGGAACTTCCTGGCTAGCCAGCCTGAGTTGGTGAGCTCCAGGTTCAATGAGAGACTGTCTCAAAAAAATAAGGTGGAGATTAAAAAAAAGAAAAATTACTTCATGTTAAGTAGTAGAGGTGATAAACATTACTAGTGAAATCTACCTGATGACTTTATATCCATACTCAGGTTCTAAGGATCCGAGTGTAACCAACTGTGACTAGTAATCATCAGATACATAGAGATTAAAGACACGTGAAAACATGCAAGTGTTAGTAGCATTAAAAATGTAGGAAACACCATATCTTAAATGGAGACCTTCTTTAAAGGGTAAAAACTCATTCAATTTTATGTCTTACTGGGTTTATACTGAGTTCAATATTGTATGACTGTATTAATTCAACTGTGAACCTAAAAATTTACAGCCACCTTTGAAAGAGATGTATCCTTGCTCTGGAATGTGTTACTGAATATGGTAAAGCTGTAATGAAATGCTTCTAATCATGTGGTTATTAAATTTTTAAAAAATTAAAAAAAAATAAGGTGGAGAGCGATTGAGGAAGACACACCTGATATGGACCTTGACGTTTATACACATGAGCACACACATGCATGTGCACACACACATGCACATACCCACATAAGCCTATACACCACACACACACACACACACACACACACACACACACACAGAAACATACAAAGAAATGAAAGCTGGGAATTGTGGGTGTAGCTATATAAGAAAGATATAATGGAATTCCAGCAAGTCATGAAAGAGAATCAGTATACCATGTTTACATAAACCAAAAACTTATGTCTTTTCTTGTTCTCATGATTTTCTGATTTGACAGCTTTCTTGGTTAAATGAACAATTGCTGATCCCCAGTGTATTGACTAACAGCTTGTTTTATGATGAAATGCCATGTTCCCTCTATCCGAGGGAGCCAATGATTGCTATGTGGTGAGCAGCACTGACTCATTCTTACTAGGATCATTGTTCATATTCAGTTCCAGATGTGGGTGTGAAAGGAGAGTCTTGCAGTTATTATCTCTTGTTGCAAGGCAGTGGCAACAGGAAGTGCAAAGCCACATTGCTTCATTCAGCCAACCAGATCAATGGCTCGTTTGCACTCAGTTTCATTTATGGAAAGATGAAAACAAAGACAGAAGAAGCCAAATTGAGTAAGTATTAGCTAGAAAAAGCCTGGCTTCTACATTTGTTTGCCTGTGATTGATTTGCTTGGTTTTAAGTGGAAGGAATAATAATGGCCTTATTCTCCCTAACCTCCATTTCTGTCATTAGTTTTTAATATTTATTATTATTATTATTTTTAATTTTAATGTGCATGAGTATATTGCCTGCATGTATGTAAGTGGACCCATGTCATGCAATGCCCATGGAGGTCAGAAGAAGCCACCAAATAATTCCCCTGGAACTAGAGTTATAGATGGTTGTTAGCCTCCATGTGAGTGCTGGGAATCAAACCCAGGTCCTCTGCAAGAGCATCCAGTGCTCTTAACTGCTGAGCCATCTCTCTAGCCCCCTAGTTTCCCCTTCTATTTTAAGCATAATATTTTTTATAATTTAAAGTGAAGAGAACTAGTTCCTTTGTATTATATAACATAAAGATTAGTAGCTATGAACTTTCAAGTCCAGATATCATCTTGTTAGTATATCTGCTTTAAACACTTTCAAAATAATTATTTATTTCCATTTATGTTCTCTCAAGGTTCTTTTGCCTCATTCCCTGTCTTTCTAAGGTCTATATTTGGTTGTCTATTGCTGCCTGACAATCTACTTCAAAGTTAGCAAAAAAGCCAGCATTATTATCTCTCATGCATTATCTGTTTAGTGGGTTCAGCTGTATTTTTTTAAATTCTCTCATATGACTATAGACACGTGTGGCTGGGGCACTTGTCATTTGGATGTCCAGGATGGCTTCTTTACCCCATGTAGCGTGTCTGGGCTGAGATCGCTGGAATAGGTGAATCTGGTTTTAAGTTGGCTTTCTCCAGTGCCTACCTGGATTTTCTATAACAATTAGGTGTCGTGACAGTGCAAATTCTTAGTTGGTTGCTGACTTCTCAGACTCTTTGTTCTGAGAGGCTGCAAGCCTTCCTGTGACCTAGCATAGAATTCAGTGTCACTTGTACCAGACCTTATTGTTTATTGTATGAAGTGATTTCACTAATACCCAATCCCAAGGGAAGCTCCTATAGCATGGAGAACAGCAAAGCCCCTCACCATGCTACCCACCAGGAACAGGAGAGCAAATCCTTCTGCCCACTGCACTGTGAGCTCCTGCTTAGGTCCATCATGAGCTGGCAACCCATTTATCCTGTGAGCAGAATTAACTTATGTACAAGCTATGTCAAGTAGGCTTATTACTCACAGACAGGGAGAAAAGGTACAGAAAACAGCCCAGGATCTAAAGGGAGCCAGTCTCTAAGACTTAAGTAAGCTGTGTGAGCAGGTAGGAGTCTTGAGTGCCTGTGTCCAACTTGGCAACACAGTGGAGGAACACCAAATGACAGCCTTCCCTGGGTTACATATGCCAGGGCTACCTGACTCCCTAGATAAAGCTTAAACAACATTCCATTGAAGAAAAGAAAGGAACAAAACTCAGGCTTTCCTGGCCACTTAGTATCTCATGATTGTGCATTCCCAGTCCATTCTAGTCATCTGAGAACTAGACAGCAAGAAAAGGAGATGAGACCGTATGAGCAAGTCGATCCTGGGACCATCTGCATAGCTTAAGCCTGGGTTTATTGTGTAAGGAACTGAACAAGGGGAATGGAGCAGGGATGATTCCTTGTTGGGCGCTGTAAAGGAACCTCTGCTTAAAAACAAGGGACTGTATATTCCATCCCTGTTTTCTGAATAGCTAGAAGAAAAGATATATAGAGAGTTCTACTCTGGTGCTCATATTACCCAAAAGAATGATGAATAAGATCAAAGTTTAAAATGCACAACAATTTAGTATGCTTGTTTTCAACCCTGCTTAATTGTTACTTTGAAATATGTAAAATCAATAGTTGTGAGTGATTGGCCCTTTTTTTCCATCATGTCTTAACACATTTCCTAGGACCTGAATTTTAATTGTTAGCGGAGAACATCATTAATGTTGACTCTTCTTCATTTTTCAGGTTTCCCGTTTGACTTCTTATCACTTCCAAGTTTTTCTGAGGAGCAGGTTTTACAGAGAGAGAAACAGTTAGCTAATGTTCAAGTTTTGGCCTTGAAAGAATGCTTGAGTAAGTTATAAATTATGCATTTCATTCTCCTGTAAGTATATTGGTTTGTTCAGCAGCGGCCATCTGTGTTCACATACTTGTTCTTAACATGGTCTTTTAGGTGGCTCTGTGCAGGGCTGGGTATGATAGAAGTAGCTATCATAAAAGAGGTCTGTAACGTTACTTTCATCTGATTCAGAATATTCCGAATTATCTATGTCACTCAATATTTTAAAAACATATTTTGTCATGAAAATTCTATATTTCAATTTCTTTATTTTGAACTGTATCTTCAAAAAGATAGAAGTTTTCTTAGTCTACTTAATGTATATAATGTTCATGTATTTTTGGTAGCAGTAATGTATAGACTGGAAATAGAAGAAAATGAAAATCTAGAGAAATTAATATGGTATCTTGAACACTGATCCTTCAATTATACCCATAACTAATAAATAACAATAACTAAGCACATTTCACATTCTCAGTGAAGTTAGCATTATGAATTTTCTTAACTGGGAAACTAATACTTTGTATAAGAGTTTAGGCCTTTTCTATTATCATTAAATATTAAATTTATTGTTGGTCTTAATTTTTATAAATATTAAGCATCCATTGTTGCTTAATATGAACTTACTTTAAGCAAATCATTAACATATAATTGCTAAGAAGCTCATTAAATTTATGAGAATTCCTTCCTTAGTTATATAAAGAAAACATTAGAAATATAAAATAAAAACTAGCATTCTTTTTTCAAAAAGCATTTTAAGCTATTTTGAATTTAATTATTCAATAGCTTGCTTATTTAGTAGAAAATGACTTTACAACACTCTTCTCAATTATTTATGTGAGCATTGCAAAGTTTTTACACCTGTATGAAGTCAAGGTAATTGTGTAGTTTTTTTTTTTTTTTTTTTTTTTTTTTTGATTGTTGTTTTCTGCTCAGACGGAAACAACAGTTCCTTCAAGGAAGGAACTGGCCAACACAAAAGTTCTGGTGGAAACCATGAATGGTTTTGGAATCAATCATCACAGCGAGCCTGCTTGTATGTTAAATGCACCTGTGTCAAGAGAGCTTCGGATCCCCGAAAGTGGAGTTACAGATGGTTGTTAGTAACCGTGTGAGTGCTGGGAATCAAACCTGGTTCTTCTGCAAGAGCAGTCAGTGCTCTTAACTGCTGAAGAGAGAGAGAGAGAGTAAAGGAGAAGCAATTATTAAAACGTAGCAGCACATGCTGAGCTGGGGAAAGATCTTTTTATGATAAAGTCAGTGGTTTGGCATTAATATAAAGCTTTGTTGCAGAAAACCAACCTTGTTCAAAAACATATCCTTCAAATTATCAATAAACATAAACATTCCAGTTCTTCCATTAATTTCCTACCTAATTTCAAATTACGTACAGCAGAAGCAATTATTAAAACGTAGCAGCACATGCTGAGCTGGGGAAAGATCTTTTTATGATAAAGTCAGTGGTTTGGCATTAATATAAAGCTTTGTTGCAGAAAACCAACCTTGTTCAAAAACATATCCTTCAAATTATCAATAAACATAAACATTCCAGTTCTTCCATTAATTTCCTACCTAATTTCAAATTACGTACAGCAGGAATGTTTCTGCAAAACTGTACTCATTTATGGTACTATTGAGACTTACTGTGTTTTAAAATAACACAAATATTTTGTTAGGGCTTAACTTTTTAAAATAAGTTGACATTAATTTTACTTTATTTTGAACAGTATATCCAATGTGATGTAATCTGAGTAGTAATATGTAAAATATAAAAAAATACATAAAACATGGGGCTGAAGAGATGACTCAGTGGTTAAGAGCACTGACTCCTCTTGCACAGGACCCATGTTTGATTCCCAGCACCCACATGGCAGCTAACAACTGTCTCTAACTCCAGTTACAGGGGATCCGACATCCTCTTCTGACCTCCATGGGCATTGTACAACATGGGTTCACTTACATACATGCAGACAATACACTCATACACATAAAAATAATAAAATATTTATATATAACAACTTTATAATTCATATTTTATATTTTCTTATTTTTTGTAATTTATAAATTTTGTACTTTGAAAAATATTCAACAATATCTTATCTCAGTGATTATTTTTTAAGAAAAAGTTTAAGATTGCCAAAATTTTTTAAAACAGAGACTGTTCAGTACAATGCAAAATAAATAGCAATCCTGGAAAAGTTGTTGCACTCAAGTATTTCATCAGTACCATGGTGTCCCTCATATCTTTTTTAAACTCATAGAACTTAGTAAAAACCTATTCATGTTCAGCTGATTGCTTTTCTATATCTAATATTTCTCTTTAATGTATTTTCATTATTGCTAACTTTTTAAAAAAGATTGTAACATTCTTTTGCTGACTCATTTTGATTTTTATGTTTTCTCCTGAATATTTATCTCTCATATGCAAGTTTATTTGTATTGAGATTATTTTTTAACTACCTTGTAACTCTATTAAGCTTTACCAACTTTTACTATATGTTTCTTGGTAATTAAGGTCAAGATGATTCTTACACTACTCTCCTAATTGACAGTCTTAATGAGTAGAGGTCAGCTCTGTGACCTGCTTGTATGTCTAGCATTAATGAGATCCAGGGCTTTCTCCTGAAACACATTGTTTTCACACGAAAATAAACCATTAATAACTTTGCTTTAGAATGACTTCTAGCAGATTGTACAGAAAGGAAAAGAAACAATGATGCTTCATTTTTACTCACTAAGAAGATGTAGAAACAGAATATTACAACTCTGATTTTACCATTACTAATATTTTTGGCTACAGAAACCATGTGTTACTTACCTTGGGTCTTACTTGGAAGGACTCTGAGAGTACCTACATCGGTGAGCTAGGGTGTTGAAAAGGCAGATACCATAAAGCTGATGTTCTAAAGTAGAACCTTGGGACTGGTTGCTACCTTCTCACCAACTGCCCCACATTATTAATGTACTGACCTCACACAGTGTAATGTAATGTGCTTGAATCCTCCGAGTCTGAGGGCACAGGATAGTGCTTTGCAGGCAGTAAGTTCTCAATAAATGTCCATTGAATTGAATTCCTGTGAGTTCACAGGTTAACCATTTTTTTGGTAGAAGGAAATGTTATTAGTCTAGACATGTTTTTTAAATGAAATGCTTTTTTAAAAAATAGAAGTAATGCATAGATGTAGTCTGAAAGTTCTAATGGTATTAGAAAGCTTCGGACGACAGCAGCAGTTTTCTCCTCTTCCTCTGTCTCTGTAGCAGCTGTCCTCAGCCTTCTAGCCAGCTTGGGCACTTCTTCTTGTTTTTAATACCGTGAATACGCTTTTTGTTTGTTGTTTTCCTAAGCCATGTTCACTTTTGCTTTCTCTTACAAGTGGCCCTGTACAGTGAAGTCAAGAATTTTGGTTAACATTTTAACTATATTAGATAGTTAAATGGAATACCCGATGATGTATTGCATCTGCTTGTTGTGTTCGCTTTAGAAATCTGACCCTATTCCTGTCCTGTACAGTAATCTTGTTTTGTTTGTTTTGACCCACTCCCTGAAAGCATTATCTCTGGAGGCCTTACTCTGAATTATAGTGTGTATATTTCACACTGTACCCTCCATCTGACGTCCTGAGCTGTATACTTGATAGGTCACTTTAAAAAAAGTTTTAGAAAACTTATATTCTTTTTTTTTTCCTCTGAAAACTTACTTCTTAAGCCATAAGTTTCTTCTTGACTTAGATCTTAACTAATTTCATTACCATTTCTCTTTTTCTTACTAATACTTTTGTAAGCTATATATTGACATTCTAGGATAGAGTACTTCATTTTCTTTTCTGTTTCCATACTTATGGAAATGGCTTTTACAATATGCACATGTTCTGGACAAAGGTCTGTTGTCTAAGTTTGCAACCAAAAAGTTAATCTTATATTTTAGGATCATTTAACACAATCTCAGCTTGCCTATAATGTAAAATAAGCTTACTAGACCTTGGGCTTCTCTTGTAACCTAAACAAATAGCTTTACTCCCTCATGACCCTTCCTTGCCCTTGACCCAGAACAATGTATAAGTGTGTGTGGGTGTGGATGGGTGTGTGTAGGGGTGGGTGGGTGTGTATGTGAATGTGTGTGTGAACGTGCACGTGTGTGTGTGTGTGTATGTGGCATATAAAGTGCTGCAAGCAGCAGGCATTTCTTGGAAGCAATGAGATATCCTATTTGTGTTGCAAGTAATAGGTGGAGTTTATCTGTTTTGCTTGTGTGCGTGCTGTTCTAGGTCAGTAGGAGTCAGAAAGGGCAAAATTCTTCTGGTGAGGGTCCACTTTTCCTTCCCCATTTCATACTCGATAATGCTGTTTCAATAAGAAAAAGTGACGACTTGGTTCCAGAACACAATTCTGAGAGAACTCTGAAGGAACAGGTTCTCAGAGCAGGTCAGGTCTACTCGTGGCTAAAATGGATGCTGAGAGTCAGGCTGTCCTTTATTTAGGCATCACCATTAGGTGCATCACACACATTTGCACACACTGTCCTCTAGTTTCTGTAGCAAGCTTCCATTTTATTTTACAGCCTTTTATAGAGTTTTTAAAAATTTAGCTCTTATGTGCGTAATTAGGAGTCTTTATTTACTGGTTGATGTTTAAGACAAGCCTCATATAGCCCAGCCTTTTACTAAATATGGAACTGAGGATGACCTTGAGCTTCTTGACCCTCTTGCTTTGCTATTCCTAGGATTAGATAGATACCACCACACCTGATGGGAAGTCCTTTTCTGTTCAATAATTCTTCCTTCATCAAAGCTTCCTGCACATATCCCAGTATCTTCTCTGATTTCTAGAGTAATATTAATTCTAACAGCTTTTTTTTTTTTTGAGACAGGTTCAACTTGTAGCCCCTACTGGTCTGGAACTCACTATGTAGACCAGGCTGGCCTACAGCTTACAGAGATCCATCTGCCTCTATCTCCAAAGTGCTGGCATTAAAAGCGTGTACCACCATGCCCGGATTCTGTTTCTTTTGTTCTGTATGTAAAGTTTTTGTTTCTGCTAAGCCTTTCTTTTGTTTCGTCTCTCTTTTTTAACCTGGAGATACATACATACACACACACACACACACACACACACACACACACACACAGTCACATACACACAGATGAAGATAAATTATTGGTGAAGATGGTGTGATGTTTTAGATTATGGCCTGGCTGGCTTTCTCATACACATATGCAGACTTCAGTTTAGCTACTGAATAGCTGTCCAAACTGGATGAATACAGATCAACCCTATAGGGGAAGATTCCTTGCCATACTGCAGAATGTATACCCTGAAGACCAGCCAGCTCTGGTTTCTGTCAGAGAGAAAGGATTGCTCAAAGCCTGCCTGGTTCATGCCCAGGTCAGTGAGTGACTGGAAGAGGGATCTGGACACCTTCCTGGGTTGAAGTCCTTACATGGATGATTATAGGCATAAGAACTGAACAGCCTCCCTCCCCTCAACACTTCTAAGTCTGCTGATTCTTTTCTATCCATCCTGTTTTAAATTTCAAGTTATATTGCCAGCCTCTAATATAATATCTGGTAAAAGTCACTGGAGAGTGGTAGGGTGAAAATTCAGTATTCTGATTATGAACCTTCCCCTACTTGTACCCCATTATCAGCATCTCAGGCACTTTTCTCCGTGGGCGTTCAGTTTTTCAAAGCAGGAATCTTGTGGTCCACAGGCTGCATGCATGCAGCCAAGGATAGCTATGATGTGGGCCCAACGAAAAATCACAAACTCTGTAGATGACATCGTTGTGTCACAATGTCAGAAGGTTGACCATGTCTCTCATAGTCTAATCCTTCCAGTGCAGATTGTGGCTGTTGGCTTTTTGGTGGCAGGACTTGGGGTCTGACTTTTAGTACTATGTGGACTTTTATTTAATTCCTTATATTTCATCGCATCTTCAGCATAACCTTTCAGCATGCCTGATGTTCCGTAGTCTGGAACTATTAAAACAAAACAAACCAGACTAGAGGTAGAGGTGTCTGTCTCAGGGCTAGAGGATGAGGGTTATGTGAGCAAGCCTTGCGTTCTGACTCCACTCTCTCTACCCTGTTCTGTCCAGTCTGGTTTTGGGCCAACTCCTCTGCTCCTACTCCTGGTGGTATTCTCTGCAGACACCTAAGGTGATCCCTGCTCTGTTCTGCTGACTCGGTCACCTCTCATTTCTGTCTTCCACAGTTTGTTCAGAGGGGCCACTGTGTGTCATTTTATTTTCCTGTTATTGGTCTGTTATTCCTTGGCTGTGATTTTAGGATTAGAGAAGGACAAATAGACAGGAATGTCTAAACTGCCATGTTTAATAGAAAGTTTTTTAGGTGTTAATTTCATAAAATATTAACATAAGACCAGTTTGAATGGTTTGTAATGCATTTCTGAAGACTTGTAAGCTTGCCTTTACTGTTGATCAACTTTTAGTGTTAACAGTTTCTCTCTTTCTCTTCATCTCACATAATTGAAAGTTTTGCTGTTAGTTATAAATAAGATCAAAATGAAAGTGTGCTTGCATGGGCATGTAGATTTCCAGGGGAAGTTCACTTGTTTTACTTTGGAAAAAAAGGTTTTACAGAAAAGTATTAGATGTAGTCTCTTGAGAGGGTTGAAAATGTCATATAGTTAATTGTATTGATTTGTCCTGCAGAAAGGAGAAAGTTGGCCAAACAGCCTGAAGCACTTTCTGCTGATGAACTGAAAAGTCTGTTGACACTCACAAGGGAGCGCTTTTTAGACCACTTTGATGCTCTTATCCCTACATCAGTTTTAACACAGACAGACAAAATTAAAACCTCCCGTATGTTAAACGGTAAGTTTCTTATTGCCTTAAAGTTTGTTTGTGTGTGTAGTGTCTTTATTATCAAATTGTGTAAGATCTGTTGGCCAAATCAAAATGTATTTTATAAATTGGAATAGCAGTGTTTGTTTATATACATATGTATACCTGAACTAAACTTATTTAAATATTGCAAACTTTTTAATAGCACTGTTGCTCAAGCATTTTCAGTTTAAGCACTTTTAAGCAGAGGAAGAACACTGTGAGGTCTAATTAGCCGTCCTTAAGCTGCTGGAGTGGGTGGGTGTCAGACAGTAACGTCTGCGCTGTGGGTGGACAGAGGCCGAAGTGCATAGAATACGCGAGCTGCTTCCTAGTGGCCGCTGTGGCCGCTGGCTGGGGTCAGAGAAGCCACCAAACCTCACAAGAACACAGAATCATTTCTATACTTGATTGAACTTTTCCTCTTTTCTGGGTTCTGCTGTTATAGTGAATTTCAATAGAGGAAAACTTTTCAGTATCTCGCAAGAAAGCCTTTGAGGATTGTCAACACAATTTTAAAACACAGAGGACAATTTTTTTATACTGTGGAAACCATTTTTATTGCATAGGTTAATGAAAAAATGACCCCAGAGTGAAATCAAATTACCAGTGGTGCTTATTTGACTGCCTTTTCTGTGTTTGTTGCTATGAATATTCACAAAGAGATGAACACCATGGTCTTGCCTTTCAGCCAGAGTATGTTGTTTGTGACACAGCTCGCGGTACCCTGCTTCAGAGTACAGACTCCTTGTCAGGTTGTCTCAGTGTCGTTAGCCGAATGTCTCTTAGTTACTTTTCACATCACTGTGACAAAGGCAACTTAAAGGAAGGGCTGCTTTTCAGCTGATGGCTTAGGGAACCGTGTCATGGTAGGGAAGATACATGGCCAGAGCAGAAGGCAACTGGCCATATTGTGTCCACAGTCAGGAAGCGGAAAGATGAACGTGGCTCCTTTCCTGCCTTTCCTTGTCCTTTCTATTCAGGCTAGCCTGTCAGGTGGTGGCCCCCACATTGTACATAGATCTTCCCTCCCAAGTTAAACTCTCAGGCATACCCAAAGGATTGTCTCAGATGCGATTTCAAATCCAGTCAAGTTGACCCTGAAGACTAGCTATCACAATGTCTTCCAACAAATTACGTATGAGCTCCTGAGTTGAGTTTCCTTCTGTTTGAAATGGACATAATAATATGACCTGCTGTCCAAGGTTTTGTGAGGTATATTAACTGATTTAATACGTGTAAGCACTTAGAAAGCATCGAGCACTGCAACTATGTCACTGCCGTTCCTATTATCCGTTTCACTGTTCCCCATCGGTACGAAGGTCAGATGGCAGTTCAGAGTAATAGCAAGAGTGTTGGAGATGCTGTTCTGTCACTTGTAAATGGGGGCTTGCTCGGTAAATGAGAAAACCTGTCTCCCTGGTTACAGCGTGGGCTTGGGAACAAGATCAGAAAGGCTAAACACTGGCTATGCACTTTACCTGATGTAGAAGTGTGGGCACATTTTCTGACCTCATCCACCTTCATTTTCTCTACCAGTAAATTAAGGGTGACATAGATTGTTGTGAGGATTAAATTAGCTGTTTGTTCAGAATGTTATGAAGTAAGTGCTATTTTTTTTAGTTACATAAACTAATGGACAGTTAGACGGCAGGCCTTTAGCTAGGGTAGAGTAGTTACAGGAGCCTTCCTAGGAACCCAGGGTCTTGGAGGTTTTGAGTGATGTTTAAGATGTAGACGGAGAGAAGACAGGATTTTGCAAGGAAGAAGCAACCAACATACTAGTCATAGGGGCAAGAAAAGGGAAACAGATCAGGCGAGGGGTTTAGCTTACCAGACGGTTTGTGTGGGAGGTGAATGAGTGATAGACGTGTCTCAGTGTTACCTGGGCAATCAAGTTATTGACAACTTCCATTTGCTCAGACATATGAAAACCTTAGCTGACCCCTGGCCTTGTGTTCATTCTGCTTCCACACCACGTCTTCATTTCCTTGTTAGGAAAATCAAGCTGCTTCTCCTGGGCCACGTCCCATACTTTTCCTACATGGCTTTGCATATGCCATGTCCTTGGCCTAGAGTCCTTTCCTCGGCTTTTACCTGACTATCTCAGAGACCCTCTTCACTTCACTACATGTCATTTTCTCAAAGTGGCTCTTCCAGACCTTGGTCAGTTTAGATTGTTTCCTGTCCTGCTGGTTCTCTACAGTTATTCTTCAAATCACTGGGCATCTTTTTAAAATTGTGTATTATCTATCTGTGCTTGTCTTCTCTCTAAACCGTGTTCTCTGAGTGTACAGAGCACCCGTGTTTGCTGTCTCCAGTAGCTGCAGGGCCTGGAAGAAACTAAAGATTTTAGAGCCTGAACTCAGATTTGACAAGCTGCACATTTGAGCATGAGGTTGAGCACGAGGCCTACAAGTACAGCTGTGACTGTTAACATTCCTGTAGCTTTGATCTGAGTAAATTATCCACCTGTAAATTTAAGTACATGTAAAAATCATGGGGACAGTCAGTTTCATATCCTGACACATTGCTTGTGACCATGCACATTAGTAGTCATTAACAACTGAAAAGTTGTCTCTTCTGCTTAGATTTCTGTGGATGCTCTAACAAGCATAACAAAGTGACAAGTCACTGTAGAAGATGCCTTAATACAACTATTTTATTTATTTGCTGTCACAGAATTATTAAACTTTTCACAGCCAAATATCTTTTTTACTTGGTGCCACTGGGCACTAACAGCATTATGTAAATGAGTTTGTTAGGTAATTTTGTAAGTTCTTAACTATTATTTCAAACATTTAAAAATGAGTTCTGGAAAATGTTTATGATTACTTTATGAAATAGATCATATCAACAATAATGTCACCTCATTGTGATTTACTCTTACTTATGGGTGACAGATTCTAATGGCTGGCCTTCAGCAGCCACACATAGTGATATTACTACCTTTTTGTTTGCCGAGGTTTGTGATTTGTAGGTTAGTTTTCCCTGTTTCCCTTTTATATTGGTTCTGTTTCTTTGTCTCGTAAAATAAGGTTAAAAATTAATTTTCTTGATTTCTCAGGAAGCATTTTGATTTGTTTTTGGACATGGTATAGTACTCTGAGAAGCACAGAAATAAAACACCGGATTTTATTTTGCTGCAAGAATTATATTTAGTTATTCCCCCAAAGACCTGGCATTTATGAATGTTCATTCATCGTTCTTAAATATATTAGACTACGCCATGCATATTTATGTAGGCTGTGTACTCAGTTAATAATTGTACTATGAAGACAATTTCATGGTTACTTTTTAAAGATGGCTTTTGTCTTCTTATGAACTCAGTGAGCAACTGTACAAAATTGGTATTGGTTATTTTCTTCATGTTTTTAATACAAAGCCATGTCTCCTTTACTTCACTATAAAGCTCATTACCCTGTAAGATAGGATTTCACCACTGTTATTAAGAAACAGGAAGCAGTGTGTTTGGATGATGCTTGGTGAGACATCCTAATATAGGTATTGATGGGCATTTTGAAAGATTCAAGGTTAAATAGTTTACTGACAGAAAATAATAAGCAGCTGCTTCCATTTTCTTTGTTTTTCAATTAAAAAAACAACAACAAAAACTCCTTTACTAAGTATAAGACTCTTCTAAAATATACAGTGCTTATTTCTATCAGCAGTGATAAACAGCTAACATCTAGCAATTTTCAGTTATTTATTAAAACAGTGTATAATAGTTTAAAATCTTAAAACAAAGTATGTTTGAAATTCAGAATTACAATTAGTAATTTGCCCGTGTCAAACTAGTACTGTGTACTGCAAATGCAAGCTGTCCCTTTAGGTTTGTGGAGAGTTCCAACATTAGGCACGCGCTCAATGTAATTCACTGTGGCTTTTTAACTAGCAAGGTAGTGCTAACCTATGCTATTCTACTAGAGCAGACTGGGACTAGGTATTAATGATTTGAGGATGAGTATATGAAAGCATCTCATGTGACGATGAGAAGAATTATCTCAAAAGTAACCTCCAGAATATAAGCATTTATTAGTTATTGTGGTTTTGAGAATGAGGTAATTTCCTTTTAAAAGATATAGAACTTTTGGTTCTGTTTAGACTATTTTTAGCATGAAAGTCACATAGCATTTCCTGTATGTTCTCTATAGAGTTTATTTAAAGAAGGTATTTTGTTTTCATTTCTCTATAACATTTTACACAGCTAAGTCATTAGATGGGTCTTTTAAAATACTTATTTTATGTGTTTGCATTTGTGCTTAAGTATATGTATGTAGCCCGTGTACAGAGGCTAGAAGAAATCAGATCTCCTAGAACTGGAGTTACAGGTGGTTGTGAGCCGCCAGAGTAGGTGCTGGGAACCAAACCTCGGTCCTCTACCAGTGCATATGCTTCTCCCCCATCCCATTAGAGAGGTTTTTAATAAATGCCTAAGTTAAGTACTGAGCCTACACACAGATGGACAGATACACACACACACACACACACACACACACAAACTGTTTGTGTGTGTATCTGTTACCTTTTATTTTGTTTTTTGGGACAATCTCACTATGTTTCAGGTTGGCCTTGGACTCACTATTTAGCCCAAGCTAGTCTTAAACTTGTGCTTCCTGCCTTAGCCTCCCAAATGCTAAGATTGTAGGTGTACTTCACCATGCCCAATGTGAGATACGTATATATCTCACATACACACAAGCACATACTTCTTATATAGAACATTCAGTATGTTTATGTTTTTCAGTGCAAATATGTGTTTTGTTCTCTTTAGATGCTAGTGCAGTAGAGATTGATTCTTCAAGTCTAATGGAAACCAATCCTCTGGAATGGCCAGAAAGGCATGTTCTTCAGAATTTGGAAACTTTTGAAAAAGTCAAACAAAAAATGAGGTAATATTTGAATCCATAGGAATGCATGCTGAGTGTTGTTAAATGAATTCTCTCTTAATCTTTTTATTATTTTCTGTCATAGAGGTAGCTTATAATTTCATTATAAAAGAAATTCATGCTTTCTATAATAAGTACTACTTGATAGAGTAGTATATCAATTGAGAGGGACAGGCTCATCTTCCTCTGCATTCTCTTGGTACCTTCTAGGTCTACATCCCCAGTGAACACTTTGTGTATAGCTTTACTGATCATCTTCCATCAACATGCACACATATGTGAATATGTAAGGTAGACCATACAGGAGCAGGTAGAATAAGCACAGGGTTCTTCTCACTGGAGCCACTTTGAACTGTCCTCATTTTCCATCCGTACATGTTCACATAGTAGGTACTCTAGAAGGCAGGGCTCACTTTTGGTTTTTGGCTTTGGTACATAATAGGCACTCTACATAATTCTTGAATGCTGGAGTAAAGCTCTGTCCAAATACTACAAATCACATGCTGTTGTTGTTTTAGCTCTTCCATTGATAGCTTTTTATCATTTGCTGTAACTTTTTTTTCATACTGGCAACAAATGCCAAGAGTCAGGCACTGGGGAACATGAGGAAGAACATGAATGCCTGTGTCCTGTAAGTCTTTTCCAACCAAAAGAAAACAAGTAGCCAGACATGTAAATCCTGTCATGGTACCCCGAGCCACTGCCACAGGCACATACATGGTCCCATATCTTCAAAGCATCTCTGTGCTTTTAATTTGGAGTTGGACAGCACAGGAGAAAAGTGGATGTAGGCAATTGGTATGTACATGGTTGTCCCATATCATTCTTAAAATATATTGTCTTGAAACCGGGTGTGGTGGCACACACCTTTAGTCCCAGCACTCGGGAGACAGAGGCAGGTGGATCTCTGTGAGTTCCAGGCCAGCCTGGTCTACATAGCGAGTTCCAAGCCAGCTGGGGCTACAGGGAGACCCTGTGTCAAAAAGGCCAAAAAAAAAAAAGTATTGTCTTGATTTGTGCCCATTGCTACTCTGACCCCAGATTTAGAGTTTCACTGTAGCTTCCTGTAAGAAAGAGACAACAGATTGTTGCTGGTTTTTCAGGTTTCTCCCTAGCTCTTACTGAGAGGCTTACTCTAGTTTATCTCTTCTGCAAGTTCACTGAACTCTTTGGTCCACTGCCTTCTCCTTCCTTCTTGTCTGTTATGGGTTTACTCTTTGGTATTTCAACACTGTGATTCTACTTTGCTTGAATGGAGAGCTTAATGTGTATGTTTAATCAATACCCTCAACTAGAAGCTTGTTACACATACAAAATCCAGGTCAAACATCACCTTTCCTAAGTCCTTTATAAACACTACAACTCAATGTTGCATTCCTTCTTTAAATGCCTAAGGGCTACACTATGACTTTCATGAAACATATTTTTCTGTATCTTATCCTTTATAGGTATATTTCTTTCCTTCCACGATCCTCACTTCCTTTCTCCTCTGTAAGCCAGACCTGTGCAGTGACTAATGAACAGTGATCGTGGCTATATGCATTATGGTGAACACTTTTCATTATATCATGATGGTATTTGCAAAATAAGTGCTCAGTTAGTACTTGCATGCACTTCAGAAGATAGGACAACATCAAATTCTTGTGTGAGAGCAAATGTTGCATGTTTTCAGAGGTTTGTGTGTGTGTGTTAAAATGAACCTGCGAATAAATGAGCGTTATGTAGTGACAGTGAGAAGTTGTAAGACTTGACGTTAGACATACTCAACAACCTGTTTTGTGACTGTATTACCTCAATTTTAGAATAGAAATAATAATCCTAATTTTAGGTTAAAGTTGTGAAAATGTTATGACAGAATTAATGTAAAATATACGCTTTAAAGCTTAGTTGTCAGTGTTATTTTTTTCAACCCAGAACATATCTTGGTAGAGTAATTTATCATGCATTTGTCTTTTAAAAATGGCCTTCATGGCTTTGTGTTCGGAGTCTATATAAATGCAAATCACGCATTTCCTCATTGCATCTGCCTGGAAGATGATTCAGATTAATATTGATTAAAAAGCCTTTGTAAGGTACTATGAGAGAGTACCTACGTAGAAATTAAACTCATAATGCAGATCTGGAGTATGAAGTTCAGAGAAAATATTTGAGTGTTTTCTTGCTCGACTGTTTTTACTAGATTCATATTTTCAGTTTAACAATAATGGGACTAGAAAACAAAGGGGCCTCTGCCAGTGTGAGTGTGATCCTTAGTGTGTGGAGATGCAGGCCTAAAGCAAGAATGTCAATTTTTAGTCATAAATTATTCATAAAAATGCCTGATTTGAGTGATTAAAAAAAGTCAAATTAGTGCCAGCAAGATGGTTCAGCAGGTAAAGGTACTTGCTGCCTGCTCAGGTCCTTGAGACCTGGATTTTATCTCCAGGACTCACGTAGTGGAAGCAGAGGCCTGACTTTCACAAGTTGTACCCTTACCCACACACAGACAGGCACACACACACACACACACACACACACACACAGACAGTAAATAAATAAATGTTTAATTAATTCAAATTAATCTAAAGATAGGCGATAAATATATGTTCACATACTGAAAGATTTTTCTGTCAATAGAATAGTAGCTCAGAGCTTAATGAAACTTTTAGCATTCTCTGAAACAGAAGTATATTTCTCCTTTTTTTTTTTTTTTTTTTTTTTTTTTTGAGACAGAGTCTATCTATAGACCAGGCTGGCCTTGAACTCACAAAGATCCACCGATCTTTATGGAGTTAGAGCAATAGTAGTTCCTAGCTTGGTATCAGTCTAGTTCTGAGCTATTGTAAATAGCTGTGTTACCCTCGGTCTGCAATGTACCAATTATGTATTGGAGTCTTTACTGAAAAATAGGAATAGTGATTGTTTTTAGGCTTGGTATGCTGATTTGCATTGTGGGAGAGTACTTACTAGGTCTTAATTCAGTTTGAAATAAGACCTATTCCATCTTTTTCAAGGAAATTTGTGAAGATTAAGAATATATTGTAGGTAAAGTAGTTTGAAGAATGCAAAGTCCAGCATGTATTTCAGGTGCTGTAATGACTCGGGGTATATTCATAATGTCATAGCCATAGCTCGAGGAGACCTTGGAGAGAATGCCCATTACAGTCTCATTTCATGGTTGTGCTTTAAGTAATCTTTTAAATTCAGAGAAAATTGGAACATTCAGTCCCTGGCCTCAGAAATTTGTAATATTGTGGGTTTTCAGAACATATGAGAGTTTCGATTTAAATTTTATAGAAGTGGTAACTTTGTAGTACTGAATTATTAATGCGCTATCTTTTGTAAATAACGTAATCATGATCATTTTTGTAGTAGAATTATTACAACGGAAACTGCAAGCTTCAGTGTGACCTACAGATTGTTTAAAATATAGCTTGAAACTAAACAGTTTGTAATCAGTTACTGTCTTTTCTTGATGTGTAATTCTTGAATTTTGAATTTTCATGGGTTTTGCTCTCATCACCGTTTCCAGACGATGGTGGATTTGAATGCACCTTTAATAAATGTGTATAAATCATTTTCCCAGAACTGGTTCATTACCTCATTCATCTGAACAGTTGCTGGGCCATAAGGAGGGTCCCCGGGACTCAGCCACATTATTGGATGCTAAGGAACTGCTGAAATACTTCACTTCAGATGGATTTCCAGTAGGAGATCTGCAGCCATTACATGTTCAAAGAGGGTGAGTTACAAACTTATAATTTCCAGCTAAATTTTAAAAGTCATGTAACGTAGTATTGCAAATCATTCTTTTATGATGAAATAAAATTAACAGTGTTTCTCGGCTGGCTTTAATCACCTCACTTTGATGATCTGAGACCGTCCTACAGTTCTGTGGAACTGAATTTGTGGGAAACAAGGACAAAGGCAACTCAGCACAGGCCCTGGAGAAGTCAACAGCTTCTGCTTTGTATGTGAAGGAAAATACATTTAAAACTTCAAACTTACTGTTATTGTGAGTGTATATAATGTGTTTGCGGTACATGCATACCACAGTGTGCATGTGGAGGTCAGGGGACAAGTTTGTGGAGTCACTTTTCTTCCACCTTTATATGGGTGCTGGGGATGGAATTTGGGTCATCAGGCTTATGCAGCAAGTGCCTTTACCTGCTGAGCCATCTCATGGTCCTGAAAAGAAAGTTTCAGAAGTTATGTTTTGAATTGCAAATGTGTATTTTTACATTTTTCCTTTCTGTGTTACTCTTTAGTTTTTATTTTGACTCTACTTGGCATGATAATTGTCTCTCATGTCCACTAGTAGCTAAAAATGACCTTTTGACTGAAAAGAGAAAAGAACTAATAAAGATTTTTTTTTGGCGCGGGGGACTTTTTTAAAAAGCTTCCAAAGGGCTGTAAAGGTTGTATGTCTTGATCACATTTACAAAACTAGTTTTGAATTATACTGTGATTAAATACTGATTTTAAAAGTAAATTTTGGAAAGGATTTGAGCTGCATCTAAAAATATAGTTAGAATGTTATTGTCTTTTGTATGTGTCTCTGGAGAGAGTGCAAGGGAGCACCACTGAAGGCCTAAGGCCTTCCCAGCTCCGGGTCATAATGACTTAATGATCTTAATGACATAAAAATTGCATGATTTTGGAGCAGTTTTCCTTTCTTTTCTGGTGGCTTTGAGGGGTTCGTAACCCCTTTTACTGGTGCTAAGAAAGTAAAAAAGCATACAGATGTTCCTCTTCCCTTGTCAGACTGTGGTCCGCACAGATCATTAGCCCTGAACTGGCAGTCAGGCAGGTCTGCCAGAATGGAGCTATGGATTTATCTAGGCTGCATTTGTTGGCTGCATTGGCTTTCTGAATACTGTGTAGGGGAGATGGAACTAATTCTCTGTGAATTTTATAGGTGATAGACTTTAAAAATTTTGAAATTTTAAAAATTTGTTTTTATTAAATTTTGTTGTATTTCATACAGAATATCTTTATAGCCCCATCTCTACCAGCACCCTCCCATACCCCCCACTGGAACCCATATACTCTGTCCTGGGTGTTAAGGCCCACTGTGTCAGGTCAGTGTCCCCAGACATTCCCTAGTGCAAGTCCATCCACTTGCAGGCTAGTTAGATCCCTCTCATCTGTCTGTCTTAATGCCTATCATTTTCTGGGTTTTTTTTGTTTTGTTTTTTTTTAACAGAGCATAGAGTGGGGGTTTATTTACAGAGGTGTGGGCACCCCTTATTTATGGTTGCACTGGAAAGTTTATACTCAAATAGAGATCCTGTGACTTCCCGACAACCGCAGAAAATGGTGAGAGAGGGGCCTCCTGTCATTCTCGGCTTATATATCGACTCATACACTGTCTCACTATATAACTCAGGCTGGCCTCAAACTCACTATGTTGTCCACGTTGGCCTCAAACTTGTAGTCATTCTGCCTCCACCTCTCAAATGTGGAGATTACAGGCCACTGTGCCCATTTTGATGTTAGGGAAGAAGGGTGTCACTGTCAATGCATCTTCTCTTAACATGAACGCTGAAGGCTGTGTTTTCCTGCTAATGACTCAAAAGCTTGGCTGCTTTTACTGTCTTAATGTCTTATTGTCTACCTGTGCACGGCACCATCCAAAATGCCCTGTTAAATTAAACAAAGGGAAAGCTTTGCTCCTCAGAATCTAACAAAGGAGTAAGAAACATTGATGAAACACATTCATTAAAAGGTTTATTTTAGAAAGACTGAGTTGTGAGTGAAATTAAAAATAAACATGCTGGGAAGGTATGAAATAGGAAATGGGTAACAATATGGTAAGATTCTGTTTACAAAATTACTCATTGTAATGGTCTCTCATCAAAATAATGAGGTCATTGCAATTTACTAATGGTGCTTTTTGTGGAACACCCAAAATAGAGGCATTAGCATATAAAGGTTTTTTTAGTGTTCATTACTGGGCTTCCATTTGATGGTTTAATGTAGTAATTTCAAATGCTTGTCATAATACTCTATGGAATTTTTGGTGGCAGAAGGACATCTTTTATCACTAATGTGGGGAGCAGTGCAAGGGAAGTGATCACAAATGTACCATGGTACTCTAGTATTTACTTGATGTAATACTATTTATTATAATACATAGAGTTTCCAAGTCTCCTGAATTCAAGCCCCTGTTACTTCATTTTGCCTATTAACAATGTAAAGAGGAACCACTTTTGTAGACTTTTCTCCTTCCTATCCAACTGGTTTTGAGCTTCATGACCATGGCACAGTACATTAGACCAGCAGGTCCTAACTCAGCAGGAAAGAAAGGCACCTGTCAGGACAGCGCAGACAGCTTAATCTCATCCCAGTGTTCTCTTCCTTCCTACATTTTGAAATCGCCTTACAGGTTTACGGGCAGAAGGAACTAAGCATTAATAATAATTCATGTAAACTCAACATAGGATTAGTTCTAAGGGCCTGCTAATTGAAAACCTATTTTAGAAGAACTGAATTCAGCAGTTAGTCTCTATACCCTCTGACCTTTACAGCATTGCTGACCACATGCTCTGGCAATGAAAGATGTGGATGTTACAATAGGAAGTAAGTACTTCTTTTGTTAACACAGATTCAAGTTGACTGTTCTGTCAAAAATGGTTTATCCAGGGGCTGGAGAGATGGCTTAGTGGTCAAGAGCACTGGCTGTTCTTGCAGAAGACCCAGGTTTGAATCCCAAAACCCACATGGTGGTTAACAGCTCTCTGTAACTCCTGTTCCAGGGGATCCAGTGCCCTCTTCTGTTCTCCATGGGTATTTCACAACACTTGTGCACTTACATACATGCAGGCAATATGTGCATACACATGAATTAAACATTTTTTTAAATGGTTTATCTAAATGACTGAAAATGAATTCATTTCACTAAGGATTGGGGGCGGGGGTGGGCATTCCTCTTGGAAATAATGCAGCTTCCTGAAATTGCTTTGCAAACCATTTTCCTTTCTTGATCTACCTACTTCTCATAATAATTCTGTGCAATAAATAGCACCATAGTTTTAAAAACTGGAGGCACAGAAAGCAAAGTGGACAAAGCGCAAAACCAGCCTTTGTCATTCCCTTCTCGGGCTTTCTCACATACTTAACTGTTCGTTTCCCCCAGGCAGGCTCCCACTCTATCCTGGACTGTGCTAGAACTCACTACATTGTCTGGCTGGCCTCAGACTCGTGGTGATCCTTCTACCTCTGTCTGTCAAGTGCTTGGATTAAAGGCCTGAGCTACCACATCTGGCTACCTTAACTTTTTTAACATACAAGAACTCATATGTAGGGAAAGAAGTCAGATTTGTCTCCTTAGATAATTTAACTTTCTCTGGCATGCAATAAACCTTAAATATAAATGAAACTCTTTATATTTCAGGGAAAAGGCTTTTGCTTTGACACCAGAACTTAGTCCTCGGAAACTTCGGGTCTTACCATTTGAAAAAGCCTCAGAATGTCATTATCATGGAATTGAGTAAGTTTTTTTTTTACACATTTCTGTATTGGTATTATAGCTTCTTTCATGTGAGTGTTAAGAGTTAGTATAATAAAATGGTATAAATTGATACAGAGCCAAAACAAATGTTCAAAAAAGCAGTATATATAATGTCTTCCAGTAAAGAAAAATTTATTAGTTAATTTTGTATCATTTAAACTCTTCTACCCCAGCATCTGTCCCCCACTTTCATATGACATGTTTTCTACATTGTCTCCTGCTTACCGCCTTCCCCATCATGGCCCCTTTCTAGCTTCTTCTGGATTCTTTAGCGTAATGCTACCTGTGTTTTCTGAGGTTATTGCACTCTAGCATTCTCACGTGGGTTACAAATAGAGGGTGATAATATATTTTACAGTGAATTGTCAAGGTCTTGGTAATTTGTTTTACCAAATGCTTTTCATTTTTAAAGAATTATTTTCATACTAATTTTCCATTTATTGAAATAGTGAAGAGCTCAATTTTTCATAGATACTCATAGATTCGTATAGATTCTAGGCAGTAGCTATTTGTTTTTCAGGAGCTATTGCTGTTTTGTAATAAGTCTATTATACTGCAGTCAGACTATATCATCAAAGACATGTCAGAGAAATTGATGCTTATTTTTAAATTGGTTAGGTTTATGCCACTGAAAGGATTCCATTGCCTTTTGATGAACTGAATTAAAACATTTTATGTAAGAGACATGCAGGGACTAACGCTTTCAGAACAATGAAACTAGGATGGAAAGTACAGACTAAAGAGTTAAGAAAGTTGGGACTGGAGAGATGGCTTAGCAGATAAGAGCACTGGCTACTCTTGCAGAGGACCTGGGTTCGATTCCCAGCACCCACGTGGTGACTGACAGTTGTCCATAACTCCAGTTCCATCCAGGATGTCCTCTTCTGACCCCCAGACATTGCATGACATGGGTGCACCTATCGATATGCAAATAATACACTCAGACACAGAAAAATAATAAAATATTTTAAGAGAGTTAAGAAAGTTAAGAGACCAATTGCCCTTTGTACACCCTAACAAAGGAAAACATGAAAAAAGGAATGCTGGGGCCTCAGCATTTTAAAGCAGCTTTGTCACTAAGCAAGAAAAACAGGATTAAAAGTCTTGGATAAAGTAGGGAGATACTTTTAACACAAAGAATTGGGTACATTTCCTCTATAATTAACATAAGCTTGCACATTAGTAAGAGAAGAGGATAAATACTCCTAATACAAGAGCAGGCACAATTTTGAGCCACTTGAACCACTGAGAAATAGCAGCGACCAGTACACGTGAGAAGCTGTTTTTCTGCACTAGTCAGCAACAGAAATGTAAATTGACACAACAGTGAGAACACTCTTCCCTCATGAAATGACTGAGTGTCTTCAGACATGATGCTGAGTAAGCACTGATGGTACAGGAACATGAGCAGCAGCACAGCAGAATGCCTACCTTGGTAGCCTCGGAAGGGCTGCGAGGAACCAGCCAAGAGCAAGTACTCACAGCAGCTTATTGACTGGCTTAGCGTAATGAGTTAGTTTAATGGTTTGCACTAAGTTATCATGGAAGGACATTTTTCACAGTGTTATTTAAAGTGAGAAACATTGGAAATGTTCTTTTAAGGGCTTAATTAAATAATTTCTATTATATCTACAAAATAAAAATTTGTATCTCCCAGAATGGCTAAAATTAGGAAGACTAATAAATATGTGATACAACCAGAATCCATAGACCTTTTTAGTGGAAATATACAATGATAGATCTTCAGAAAAGCATCTGGCAGACTTTTATACAGATAACCTTACTCCAGCAATTCAAATACGAGGCGTTTTCCCAGAAGTGAGAGCATAGCTCCACGAAATGACTTGCAGAAGAATAACAATCTTGTTTGTACTGCTTCAGAACTAGAGACAGCCTGGGAGAATGGGAGAGTGGGAGAGTGGGCAAGTGGGCAAGTGACCGGCATACCGTGTAACAAGGGCCAGAGCACTGATGTGCGACAACAGTGAGCGTCTGTGTGAAAATGCAGTTGAAATAAGGACGTGAGGACTTGGGAAGGAGCAGCGGGAAAGGCAACATGCCACAGTGGGCTGTTCCTGGAAGACGTAGTGTATGAAATGCTAGTCTGAATCCAAGTGATTCAGAGATATTTGTAAGTTGTTTTGTGACTACCGGATTAGCAACTACTGAATCACATACTTATGCGTAGAAAGCCACCATAGCTTTCAAAGTTTTGTAGGTGTCTATTTTTTGATAATTTCACACTTCCAGCTTTTTATTCTAATATTTGATGAAAGGATTCCTTGTTTGGGAGAGTTACTCGTTCACATCAGAAGACTAGGGGTGTTTTTCATATGTCCTTAAATCTTTCATTTACACTGTTATTATTTGAGATATATACCCTTATTTTGTCCATTAATTTCAAATTTTACCTTTTATTTTTACTAAATTTAACTTAGTCAAATTTAACTGGGAACTTTTTTGTCTTATAGTGTATTGATTTTTATTAAGATGTATGTTTATTTCACCTCGTGTGTGTGTGTGTGTGTGTGTGTGTGTGTGTGTGTGTGTGTGTATGGAGGCCAGAAGTCCATGTTAGGTGTCTTCCTTGATTGCTGTCCATCTTGATTTTTAATTTTTAAATTTTTTAGACAGGCTCTCTCACTGAGTCATCTAGACTGGCCGCCCAGTGAACCCTAGGGAAACATCCTGTCTCCACCTCCCCGGCTCTCAGATTGTAAGCCAGCCTTCATTTCCAGCCTTTTTTTGTTTTTGTTTTTTCTTTCTTTCTTTCTTTCTTTCTTTCTTTCTTTTAAATTTTTTATGTGTATGTGTGTATTGACTGCATGTTGGTAAGTGCACCCGTGTCGTGCACTTGCGGAGGACAGAAGAGGCTGTCGGATCCACTGGGACTGGAGTTAGGAACAGTTGCTAGCTGTCATGCGGGTACTGGGATTCGAACCTGGGTCTTCTGTAAGGACAACCAGTGTTCTTAACTGCTGAGCCATCTCTCCAGCCCTTTTATTGTTTTTTACTTGGGTCTGGTGCTTGAACTCAGGTCCTCATGTTCATGTGCCAAGCACTTTACCATCCGAACAATCTCCCCAGGCTCCTTCCTCTCTGATTTTGTTAAAGACCCAGTAATTATTACAGAAATGGTTAAATGAAAACAAAAAATTCTTCTCTTTATTGCTAACTACTTCTACTAGTACTTTTCAGAAACACATTTTGAATTTCATTTTGGTTTTTTTTTTTTTTTTTTTTTAGTGTTTACCTCTTTTATTCTAAGGAATACCTTCTGGCATTGTTTTTAACATCTCCGTGGAAAAGTAGCTCTCCTCTGAAAAATAAGGATGTGGTTCCCCTTTTTCTCACTGATTGTATTGCTGTTTATTTACTTCGTGTGTTTGTGTGTGTGTGCATGTGCGCACGCAGGTGAGTGTGCAGTTGTGTTCTTGTGCACACACATGCAGAGGCCAGAGGAGGACATTGGGTTTTTTCCTCTGTTGCTCTCTGCCTTAGTCCCTTGGCACAAGGTCTCTCACTGAACCCACACTTTGCTAGTTTTCAGTTAGGCAAGCGGACAGCAAGTCCCAGCAATCCTCCTGCTGTCACCCCTCCTAGAGCTGGGTACAGGCATGCGTGGCCATGCTCGGCTTTTCATATTGGTTGCTGTGTATTTCAGCTCTGGTCCCAATGCATGCATAACAAGGTTTTTTTTGTTGTTGTTGTTGCTTTTTTTTTTTTTTTTTTTTTGTTTTTTTTTTTTTTTTTTTTTTTTGGTCTTTTTTGAGACAGGGTCTCCCTGTAGCCCCAGCTGTCTTTGAACTCACTATGTAGACCAAGCTGGCCTTGAACTCACAGAGATCTGCCTGCCTCTGCCTCCCAAGTCCTGGGATTAAAGGCATGTGCCACCAAGCCCAGCTATACAATATATTTTTATCCTATTTAGAGCCTCTCCCCTGTCTACCCTTATTATACCCCGCCCAATTTCATGTACTACTCTTCCCTGTTTTTAAAAATATATTTGCAGGTGATTACTGCTGGGTGAGGGACAGTTGATCTTCTTTAAGGGAGAGACTCTAGATAGACTGACTAGACGCCAGTAGATGAACTCACACTAGGGGACATCTGCGTACACAAGCTTCACTCAATAGACCGTAACATATATGATAGAATGCATGAAATTGGTGTGGGGGGGGGATGAAGATCATTAAGATGTCATGTATGAAGTACACAAAAAGTCAATAAAAATACATATTTAAAATCCAATTCCTAAACCATGACCTATAAAGCTGTATCTCATTTTGTTTGGTAGGCTTAGGGCCTCCTAGTCTATTAAAGAAACTTTAGGTATTTTGCATATACCTTGAATCAGAGAGTTGAGACCAGCAAACACTTTATATTACCATGATTAAAACTAGTGTCCCCTGCTACAAAACAAAAGCGGTGGTAAGAACAGTTTCTTTGCTATACAACTAAAATACCCTAGGACACGTGTTATTTGTCTCCTTGGCCTATAAGCTCATTGAAGTACTGATTTGAACAAAATAATCATAAACTTATTTTTATAGCTGACTGGAATGTCTATCCTATAAACACATTTAGATTGTGTTTCCACTGATACTGTAGTTTTGTTTATCCTACTCCCTATAGGGAGTTTCTTCTCCCTATTTTCTCCCAGTGTTTAAAGCTAACACAGAAAAAAAATTAATGGTCCATCTGGATTTATACAATTTTTAAAACGTGTGTTCTCCATGCTCATTTGTTAAATAGTAAATGAGTACTTGTGCACTGTTTCCTAATGGACATAAATGTTCACAGAGCTTCATTTACAGTACCATGAGACTGTTTCGTTACAAAGTAGTTTTCCTCAGCTATCTACCTAGTCCCTAAATAAACAAACAGATCTAGCTGGAGCTATGTTTGTTTTCTTTTGTTTGCGTTTATGCTTCTTAAGCTGGGGGCATTGAGATAGAACTAACGACTCTGTAAGAGGTGAGCACCTTCAGTCAGAGAATGGCTTTTTTTTTTTCACTTGAATTTATAGAGTGGGGACTTTCTTGCACTCAGCATAGATTATGGAGTAGAAACAAACTTACAAACTTCAAAGTAGTTTGAAACCACAGATTTCATTGCCTATACTTAATAGGCAGTACTTTGTTAAGTTAAAAAACAAAACTAGCTTTGTGATCTTATAGGGGGGTTTTCTCTGCTAGGATCCATAAAGCCTTTGGTTATTGTTTTGTAGAAAACAAATTGGAATTGCAATCATTTATCCAACAAGAAATCTTCACTAATATCAAATTATACATTGCACTGTCTTTCCTCTCTAATTTTCTAAGTAATTTTTTATTTCCATCAAGTCTTAGTACAGTTATCTGAAGAACATTTGATGTTAGTGGAAGTGAGCAGGTAAAGTATGCAGGATTTGGCAGATGGGCATCGGGAGCATCTGGGATTAAGGGACAGATAAAAGAAGTTTGTGTGTTAAAATCAGATCATTATCATACAAAAATATCCTTATAATCAAAGTATGCATCCTCTCTCTCCAAAAATTCCTAGGTACAGGCCAATCAGATGCTATACTGCTTCTTTTCCCAAATCTTTCTGGAAATTCTTGGTTCCTAATTTTACTGTAGGTTTTATTTACATCCCAGGACAGAGTATCTGTCAACTTCAGGGTTACTGCTGACTCTTAATAGAAGCTTCTGATTGAAGAACTCAGTTCTCACCCCAGTCAGGTAAACTGATAGATTAGGTTAGCATTGCTTCAGTCTCAACGACACTTTACAACACCTTAAGCAGCTTTATATTTCAACTACATTTAAAGAAGTGTGACATGATGTTTCCCTACACATGTACAGAATGAAATGCTACTGTAGTCAGGTTAGGAAAGCCATTATCTCAGTAGTTGCCTCTTTTTTAGTATGTGGTAAGCATTGAGAAATGTACTGTTAGCAGAATTCCAGACTAAAATAAATAATAACTGTAGTCTTCATCTAGATTTACTCCTCCTGTGGAACTCTTTTTACCCTTTGACCAGCATCATCGCCCTCTCCCAACCATGACCTCCATTCTACTTTCTGTTTCTATGTATTCAGTTTTTCTTTTAGGATCACCTGGATAGCTTTTTCTGCATCATACCCCAGACTGATTAAGTCTGTTTTTATGTATTCAATTTTTCAGCAGGTTCTCATATTCAGCCATGTCTTTAACTAGAGTAAGATGACCCTTATCCTGTAACACAGGTGATAGAGTACCGAAATGGTCACAATTAGGCTCTGAAGCCACCAACCTGAGTTTCAGTTCTGACTGTACTGCATGGGCTTGGCATGTTATAAGATTTGCTGTGGTAGAAAATACATCTGCTGCTGCTGCTGGAAACAGCATACATTTGTTGACTGCTTTGCCTACATGTTCCAGATGCTGTCCCTAAATACAGTGCTCACAAGTAATCCTGAGCGTACCTCTTCCTAAGTATTACAGATCTTGTTTTGTAGGTCAGGCAGTGGAAACACACACTTAAGTAATTTGGCCAGGTTCACATAGCTAATAGGTAGGGGAACCTGGATTTCAGTCCATTTAAATCTGTAGTCTGTATTCTTTGAAATCAAATATGTGTCATGAGGGAAAGATAAAAGTTCTGAATGCCTCATCAGGCTGTCAGATATTTGAGTAATGATACCTTCCTTGAGAGTTGCATTCTAATATTAGGGAACATCTTGGAGCTTTACAGGTAAAAGGATAGATAACAGAGAAAAGTTTGAATTGTTTGAAAGTCTACCATCGCATGTGCGAAACCATTTGTGTTCCTTGATGCTGCTACAGAGAGGGGAGGATGTGAAGAGCTTTGCAAGGTCACAAGTCTTGTTGATGATTTTCCTGACACGTTTATTTGTTGTGCTTAGCATGAGATTTCTTTGAGTCCAGAAGCATTCACTGTGCTAACATGTCATTGATTCACTCAGATTTAACTAAAAAACAGATACGCAGGCATCCAAAGTGTTTGAAAGAAAATCTGACAGTAAGGTGAGGAATGAATTTCAGTTTAAAAAAATTCAGTGTTCTGAGCTGTCTGTTGAGCCAGTTTAGAATGCCTTTTTACCTCTAAATCTCTGTGTTGAAAATAAACTTGCCCTTTCTAACAGAAGTCAGCATTTCACGTTGTTACATATCAGTCATGCTGAGCAATCCGGGGTTGTTAGAGTTTTAAGAAGTATTAAAACAGCAACTATGTTAGCTTGGAAATAATCCAAAGGATTAACTTAATCTTTTGCCACAGAAGCACAGTCAAAGACAAATCAGATTGTACTTCACATTTGTAAATCTTTCTGTCATATAGCAGACTAGAAAAATATGAACTGGTGAAGAAGTAGGCCACTCAGCTGACTTTCCAACAATTATTGGGAAGTTAAGTAAGCACTTTTAAGTAAATGTCTTGCTGTTTTCTGTTTGAAAGTAGAGACACATTGTTCTCCTGGATGTTTGATTTTAATGATTTTCTCTCGTTTTAGATATTGCTTGGATGACCAAAAAGCATTAGAAAGAGATGGGGACTTTTCTGAACTTCAATCTCGTCTCATTCGTTATGAGACCCAAACTACCTGCAGCAGAGACGGCTTTCCTGTCCCCACTTTGCTGAGCCCTCTTCCATCTCCTGCAGTTCTGTCAGAGCCCTGGAGTGTCCCTGACGGAGAAGCACTACAAAGTGAACTCCGCACTGACAGATCTGGATTGAAACGAAGATCTAAAGACCTGAATTGCCTTTACCCCCAGAAAAGGTGATATATCAAGTGCACAGAAATAGAATCTCCACAGAAAATACTGTAGTCTCTAGAGATCTCTCTTCATCTTTGTCTCATATTTTTATGCTGTATTCTGCATAGATTTTTAGATTAATTCCTTCATATGAGAAAATTTGTATTTTCTGTAATTGGGTTTAATTGTAAGTTATAAAAAAATTGACTTGGAAAAAGACTTTCTTATATGCTGGAATACAGACCATTACCACAATGGATTATAAAGCTTTTATTAAGTCATGGAACACCAGAGATGTCACCCAATAGATGCAGCAGCTCAGGTGCTCTATTGATGATGGTATCTGAAGAGGGACTTGTTGCTGATAGCTTTTCTTTCTCCCTCCCCTGTCTCCTGTTTGTATAGGCTTTGAAGAAAGGTTTCATCGAGCCTTGTATTTAGTAACTTTCTGTTGCTGTGATAAAATACCATAACTAAAAGCATTTCATGGAAGAAAGTTTGTTTTGGCTTACAGTTCCAGGTTCCAGAGGGATAAGAGTCCATCGTGGTGGGAGGCATGGCAGCAAGCAGCAGCCATAGGAGCTGAAAGCTAAGACCTCACATGCTTAACTGCAAACACAAAGCAGAGGGAGAAAACTGGAAGTAGGACAAGGTCAAAGTCTGTCCCCAGTGACACTCCTCCAGCAACGCTATGCCTCCTAAAGATTTCCATGACTTCCTCCAAACAGTGCCACCAGCTGCAGACCACATATTCAAATACTTCAGCCATGGGGGACATTTCTCATTCAAACCTCCTCTAGTCCCATTTTAAAGCCACTTGTTACATATAAACCAAGGGTTAAAGTCTACGTAACTAGTACAGTATGTGGAACTTTTCTTGGTACTTTAAAAAAAAATGCTAGCTAATGAAGTGTCCAAGTACTTGATCAGAATTTAGAAGTTTATGAAAAGAAAACATTGAATTTATAGATCTTTACAACATATGTCAGATTTTGTTCCTTGGCATATAAAATAAGCTGTAAGTTCTGTCTATATTTAAGCCTTAAGAAATAACTATAACATACGTAGAAATAAAATTTTTGAATCAGTTTTCACCAGGTAAAAGCATTAGAATACTGTTTCCTACCCTTGAATGACTAAATGATTTTTTTTTGACTAAATGATTTTTATGAGAACTTTGTAAGTTCGTGTTTTTTTTTTTAATCAGATTAATTTGAAAAGCAAAGCCACTAAAATGATTGTTTGTATTCCAGAAAGAAAAGTATGCTCTGGCCTCTGAGAGCTTAGCAGAAGTGATGGGTATAATATCCCATTTTGAAAAAAAGGGAAACAGGGACCAGAGATGAACAGATAAAAATGGTAGTTGTTGGGACTGGAGAGATAGCTCAGCAGTTAAGAACAGCAGTAGTTATTGCAGAAGACACAGGTTTGAATCCCAGCACCCACATGGCAACTAACAACTGTCTGTAACTCCATTTCCAGGACATCCGACAACCTCTTCTGACCTGCACAGGCATTTCATGACACAGGTGCACTTACCTACATGCAGGCAATACACACATACACATAAAATAAAAATAATAAAAAAAGAAAAAAGGAAAACAATTTTGAGTCATTGTGAAAGCAAATGTAGATATTTTAGAAAAGCTGAAATGGAAACCAGTTTTCTAGTGCTATTTGTATTTGTTTTCAGTTATTTATTTTGCAGACAGATGCATAGATACAGTAAGGTGAAGGCTGTAGTTTTGCCAAAGTTCTTTAACAAAAAGTCTGAGTTGCATTCTGATACTAGGGAATACTAAGTCTGTGAGTAGAGGGATGGGGGAGTGTGTCGCTCTCTCTGTTAGCTACATTCTGGTTACCCATTGCCTTCTGTTTTAATTCCAGTCTTAGTTACTGTGATAAAATACCCTAACAAAAGCAGTGTAGGAGAGGAAAGGTTTCTAATGGCTCACAGTTCAGGGGGAAGTCAGAGCTAAAACAGCTGATGTGTCAAGGTCATAACTGGAAAGCAAAGAGCACTGAGTGCATGCTCAGCTCCGTGTCTCTCCAGCCTAGGAGCCTCCCCACCCAGGATGGTCTGCCCCAGTTAAGTGGTTTTTCCATCCCAATCAGTGCAGTCAAGATAATCCATCCCCTATAGGCAGGCTCAGGCCTATCTCGCAGATGGTCCTAAATTCTGTCAAGTTGACAACACTGTCACTGTGAGGGCTTTGAAGAACTAAAGGAATAACTTTATGGCATGGTGTTGCTATCTTAATGCAAATTATCAAGAAATTTTAATTTTCTTGAATTTGTGTTTAAATGGAAATAGCTGTAACTTTAAAGCAAAAAAAGAGTGTGTTGTTGATTCATTTAATTTTCATTTTTTCTCTCATCACAGACTTATGAAATCAGAAAGTTCTGACTGTCTTCTCTCTCAAACAAGTGGCAATAGTAATCTTCATCGTCGTCATGGGGTGGCATCCAGAAAGCCACAGACAGAGGTGTCACTGGCTGTGCTTCCACCTGCGAGTCATGAAGCTTCAAAAGTCACTACCAAGACCAGCTCAAGACAGAAATGTGTACGTGACTCAAAAACATCAAAGCAAATTAAGGAGTCACGATCACAGAAGCATACTCGGGTAAAGACTCCCTGTTTTGTTTTGTTTTGTTTTGTTTTGTTTTGTTTTGTTGTTTCTACATGAAAAGCAATTTATGTGAATCTCTATTAATATGCCTAGAATTTTTATGAAGCGTATAAAATTATATCTAGAATTTACTTTAAAATAATCTGACACCTGGGAAACACTATTTCATTGTGGTCATTTACTGACCTCTGGCTCTTAGAGTCTTTCCACTCCCTCTTTCCTGAACCTTGGAGGGGACTTGCTACAGGTGTCCTGTCTAGGGCTAAACATTCCCCAGCATCTATTCTGTGTACTTGACCCAGTTGTGGTCACTGTGTTGATGGCCACCTACTACAAAAAGAAACTTCTCTGAGGTTTGAGAAATGCACTAATCTTATGGGTATAAGAAAAAGTCACTAAGAGTCGGCTTAATATTATGTCCACTTAACATGATAGTAGTAGTGGGTTCTCCTCCAGAGACTGTGATTTGTGTAGCTACAGATTCTTGTCCCTGATAAAGGTACCAGGTTATATTTTCCCTCTTGTGGAGGAGGCCTTAGATCCAGTCAGAAAGTATTTGGCCACTCCTGTGATGTTCATGTCACTATTTCTACCAGTGGCACATTGTGCCAGGCCAGTCATTATTTTAGCTCTCAGGGTTCAGAGCTGGGTAAAACCGATGATTGCTTTTCTCTGGTGCTGTACAGTTGCACATATGAACTCATAGTAGTTATGAGAACATGCATAAGACCTAGACAGGCTCAAGGTAGACAGAACTCCCAGTTTGAAGGAAGAGGTGGACATGGAATCCCACCCTAGCTGAGGAGCTATTGGAAACTGACTATTCCTGCAAGGAGGAGAAGCAGGTATTTTAAGGTTGGTAAACTGACCGTGCTCCAGTGGATGGCCACACCCAAGAGTATGTGGCCAGCACAATCCAGACTTAATGGGTATACATTTTTTAAAAAAGAGGGCACAAAGTTGGGTGGCTAGGGAAGGAGTAAATCTGGGAAGAGCTGGGGGATAAATACGATTAAAATACATTGTATGAAATTCTCTAAGAGTTTAGTAATAATAATAATAATAATAATAATAATAATAATAAAATATATCCTTAACATGAAAAATCTGATGCAGCAAGGGTGATGAAGGCCGAGGTGAAGCCCAGCAGTAGAGCACTTGCCTAGCGTGTGTGAGGGCCTAGGCTTAATCCCAAGTATGGTGGGCATCCTTGGGGGACTCAAAAAAGAAAGAAGGTAGGTAGGTAATAGGAGGGTGGGGGGGCATTAGTGAAGCAGAATTAGCCAGAAGTTGATGATTTGTCCTAAAAATTGGTGTGCTAAAAATGCATCAAAATAGGGATGTTTGAAATTTTTCTTTTAAAACACCCTCCTGCATCTACCTACTGTGTGACCATGACGTTCGGATTTCAGTTCCTTTCTTAAATTTCCCTAGGGCTTTCCTAGGAACCTAGGAAGCCTGTGTCATGCGTGGCCATGGAGATACTATCGGCATCTTTCTGTGTCAGTTATTTCGCCAAAATGACCTTATCTGACTTTAGTTCACCGACATGACCGTGTAATTCACAAATCATGTATGATGAACTTAGATTTGAAATATGTGTACCTTTTCCAAGAAATATTAGTCATGTGTTACCTTCTGTTTCAGATGCTGAAGGAGGTTGTGACTGAGACCCTGAAGAAACACCGGGTCACTGAGGCTCACGACTGCTTCTCTGCCTGCAGCCAACGACTCTTTGAAATCTCCAAGTTCTACCTAAAGGTGCGGTATGTCCCACTCCTACAAAATTTAGTTTATGCTCTAACGTTTCCATTTGCTATAAAAAGTTTCAGTGAGTATTTTAAAATTAATACTGTATAACTTGTTGCCAGACTATTTTATGAATGGAGATGGAAATATTAGAGTAAAACTATATTTGGTTGTCTTTAGCCTTTTGTATAGAAGGCTACATTTTAACGGGAGCCCTCAGTATTTCTCCTAACAAATATTTTACTCAAGTCAGAGCTTTAGACATTAATTGGTAGTTAATTAGCTTAATTATTTATAATTACCTATATGAAACTGTAGAATTTAGTGTATTATAATTCTTTTACAATATAGAATTAAAAGGCTAAACAACTGATTTCTAATTTTGAATCCATTGTTAACTGGTTGTGAGGAATTGGGTAGAGGCGCCACTCAGGTGACAATTTTCTTTCTTTTTTTAAAGTACGTGTGCATATGTGTGTGTGTGTGTGTGTGTGTGGTGCATGTACATGGGTGCATGTGCACGTGTGTGCCTGTGGAAGTCAGCAGGAGCCGCAGTCTTCCTCCACCACGCTCTATCTTACTCCCTTGACACAGAGTCTCTCACTTAATTGGAAGCTCCTCGTTTCAGTGAGGCTGGCTGGCCAGCGGCTCTGACAATCCTCCTGGCTCTACCTCCTAACCTGGGTTTGCACAGCCATGCTTGGCTTTAATGTGTTCCTGGGGATTCCGACTCAGGTCCTAATGCTTGCACAGCAAGTGTCCTTACCCACTGAGTCATCTCCCCTGGTCTGAGGATGACAGTTTTCTGAAACTTAAGTGCTGTTTGGATTGTCTGTGCCTTAGGAGATGAGCAACAAACATTAAGTAGGATTTCTGGTTAAAATTACAAATTGACCACATGCACTCAGTTCCCTTCCTTTTAAGTTTCTCAGTAAAAGCAATCATACTACAAAAAGCAAGTGAAGAGATAAGAAAAAAGCTGAAGAAATATACATTGTTGAATATTTAAAAAAAGGAAAAAAAGCACGTAAAAGCCTACTACAGATTAAAAGATGTTATCGGCTAAAAGCCTACCTGTAGAATACCACTGAGGATCATACTGGTTCAACCAGCAGAATCTCTGAGGTGTTCAGGATCAGAAGATTCCAGAAAGCAGAATCAGGGGACCAGACAGAAAGTAGAGGAGCCAAACAAATTTCTGCAAAGTGAATGCCCTTCTCCCCAAATGGTGAATACGAAGTTATTTAACGTAGTCATCTTCCCGCTTGTCTATGCCAGTGCAGGAGACAGTCTGTAAAGGAAAGGAAATACTAGTAGCTGTAGTGAAAAGCCAGCTGGCCAGTTTTGTTCTCCTCCCTTGTAAAGTCACCACTGAATAAGCTCTGCATGGACAGGGCACCCATATTTTTAGTGTCTCTCTTTTAAATAGAACTGGACAGCCAAGGACTAGCCAGCACACATTGCCAATAACTTCTAATGCTAGTGATGCCAAAAACATAAAATAAAGGGAACTCTGAAAGAGCCGAAAGTAGAGGAAGACTTCATCAAAACTATGAGTCTCCCAGAAGGTTAACTGTATCCATAAAACTAGAACTACATGCTTTTACCAAAAATGTGCATGGAATACAAAACAAATGCCTTTCAATAATGAAAATGATGAAATCAATTTAATAGAAAGACTGAACAGTTGAGATGAGAATTTTACCAAAATTTAGAACCAAAGGAGAAAAATTCTGGATAGAGGACAAGAAAATGAGAGGATTGATTCAGAAGAAGCAGTGTACTAATAATAGGAGTTTCAAAATAGAGACTGCAGGAGAGAAAATTTGTCAAAAATAAAGCAAAGTTCCCAGAACTGTGGAACTCAGGCCTCCTAGAAAAGACACAGCTTATCCAAGTTAGTAAGTGAAAACTTCAGCAAGTCATATCACTGTGGAATTTCACTCCTCCAAGCATCAAAAGAGCATTTTCTAAGATTCCTAAGAGAAAACATAGTTTACATATTTAAAGGTTCCAGGATGAAATGGTATTGGGCTTTTCTACAGATTCTTGGAACATTCAAAGACTGTAAAAACACCTTCAAATTCTGAGGGAAAGGGATGTATCTAGTATCTTTAATATTATATGATAATTCATCCAGATGTGAAGGCTCAACAAAGACACTTTCAAACCAGAAGATGTAAAGCAATTTATCTTCCCCTTTTGAGGAATCTTCTGGAAGATGAAGTTCATCTTCAGTGCATAAGAGACTGACAAAAATTGACCTAGAGTAAGAAAGCCAGGTCCTAATGGACTCAAGCCCGGGGAGTGGCTAGACGAAATTGGAGCAGGCTGTAGAAAGAAGATCTTCAGATACAAGGAACTATGGGGATAAAGGGGAAGAAGTTGCTCAAGAGAAATGGGACCATAGCAAACAGGAATTATCAAGGGAGAAATGGGGACACTTTAAAGTGGGGAGGGCAGGGGGGGAGGAGGATAAGACAGGGAGGGAGGAGAGATAAATAATGACTACTACCTAGTATAAAAAAAACGAAAAGAAGCCAGGAATGGTGGCACACGCCTTTGATCCCAGCACTCAGGAGGCAGAGGCAGGAGTATCTCTGTGAGTTCAAGGCCAGCCTGGTCTACACAATGAGTTCCAGGCCACCTGGGGCTACAGGGAGACCCCGGCTCAAAAAAAAAAAAAAAAAAAATAAAAAAAAAAAAAAAAAAAAGACAAAACAAACAAAAATGAGAAGGAATCATATTAGTCCAAAAACCTACTGAAAAATTACACATATAATGTCTCTACATGAGTTCATGTGTGTAGCTGAAGGATACATAAGAAACAGGGCCAGACAGGAGAAACCTTCCTTTTAGTCCTTTTAGTCCAAGAACTCTGAAAATTACACAGGCAGTGACCAGCACAGCAAATGACATTGGTGCAGTAGTGGCACTTTTATCTTCGGGTAATCAACAGCTATCTATTGGACTTAAAGCCCACTCGGTGGGAGGAAACTCATGTGTGGCACTGTAAACCTCGCCAAATACGCATAGCTGGAGAGGTCATAGATCTTAGAGAAAACCCCAAGGCTGTCACATCCTTAGACAAATGAAATTTCTTACTATGTACAAAATATGGAGCCTTAAATTTACAGAGTAGGTCCTTGGACAGGTCTCCTATATTAAGAAGAGAGAGTGGAAAAATTGTAAGAACCAGGGAGGAGGTGCATGGACATACAGAAATAGTGTCTTAGCAGGTTCCTGGGACTCATGTGAACCTACAGCAATGGTGTCAGCATGCACAAGACCCATGCAGACTCAAGCAAGCAGACAGAAACCCAGCACAGAACTGTGGAAATGAACAGCAGGACCCAATCTTAGTTGAAGAACTACTGGCAGCTGATTATTGCTGGGTGAGGAAGGGACTCTAGATAGGCTGACTGGACCTCATTGGATCAACTTGTACTGAGAGACAACTGGGGACACTAACTTGACTTGATAGGCCTTAACACAAATGACAGAATGTATGAATTCCCCTGGGGGGACTATGAGAGGCAGTCAGTGGGGAAGGGGGTATAAAGATGATTATGATGTTTTGTGTGAAATACACAAAAATTCAATAAAATTATTTTTTTTAAAGAAGAATAGCAAGCAGGAGAGGGAAAAAAAAAAAAAGAAAGACTAGTAATAAAGGTGAAAGTAGAAACCCACAGAAAACTGACTTCAGTGATTATCCAGCATGAAAAGGCTTTGCTGTACATTGAATCCATCCGTTGTGGGGGAGGGGAAAATTCCAGAATTATACACATGGGAAACTGTAAGGGGAAAAGAAAACAAGCAGAAGATTGAAGGATGAGGCATACCCATAACACACGAAGTAGCTCAGAACTGCTCAGCAGCATTTACTTCGATACAATAATGCACACCACACTGCCCCTTTACAACTCTCGAGTTGTAATGTGACTGTAATTTAGAGGAAGAAGGTAGGTGGTGTGCACCACACCTAGATCTGTGACAGTCATGACCTGTGCTGTGGGAAGTCAGTCTGAAATCACTAGCTTCAGGACAGCCAAGCATGACGGGAACACATAGAGGTATAGAGAGGAGGAGCTGCTGAAAGGATTCAGAGCTGCTGAAAGTGTAGCTGGCAGGATTGCCAAAGTGCATACAAAAATATTTGTATTGAGTTTTTGTGCATTTCATATAATAGATCTTAATCAAATTTAGACCCCCTGCCCCATCCACACTCCCCCACAGATGCCCCACACACATACTAGATTTAATGCATTCTCTCATATATGTTAAGGCCTAGCTGGTCAAGCATTTGTACCCAGATGTCCCTTGGGGCAGTTCATCCACTGGAGTCTAGTCAGCCTGTCTAGAGTCTCTCCCTTAAAGAAGATAAACTCTCCCTCACCTAGCAGTAATCAGTTGCCAATAATTCTTCTGCTAGGTTTGGGGCCTGCTGCCCATTTCACCAAGTTCCACAGGTGGTCCTTGGGTGGCAGGGGCTGGGGACACAGAGGCCCAGAACAGGTCACTACACAGTCCTCAGATGGAAACAGGTGGAGTGAAGACTGGGCTGGAGTTCTGTAGTTGGGGTTGAGATTGCAGGACACCACATAGCCCCCAGCAGGCACAGTGGGTGTGGGTGGTTTGCACTGGGCAGATTGCATCTTGGGGTGCCTGCCTACCTAGAGTTGGGGTTCTGCAACTCCACTTATTCCTGTGGCTGCCCAGTGGGGGGTGTGGGTGTGGTTGGAGGGCAGACAGACAGGCTGTGGGGTGGCCTACTTGGGTTTGGGGTCACAGGATGCCCACGCCATCCCTGGGCTACATGGTACGTGGAGTGGCTGGTAGATAGGCAGACAGATTCTAGGGGTGCCTACCTGGGGTTGGGTAGCAGGACACTTGGTCATCCCTGAGACCCGAGGTAGGTGGGGTGATTGGAGGGCTGGCAGACTTGACTGTGGATGTGTCTACCTGGGATCAGGGTTCCAGGATGCCTGGCAGTCCCCAGGGAGTGCAATGAGTGGATAGCTGGAGCACTGCTAGACTGGCTCTGGGGTGCATATGTGGAGTCAGATATGATACCTTCTTTTTTCTCCAACTCGTGCTGGGAATTGAACCCAGGACTTTGTGCATGCTACACAGGTACCCTACCTCTGAGCCAAATCCCAAAACCAATCATTTTTTAAAGTCAGACTGAAGTTTCATTCCTTTTTGTGATAAGAGTGAAATACCTGAAAAGAAGGAGATAAGTATTTATCTGAAAAATCAGTAGAAGCCACATGTTAATTACCAAATACAAAAGCACCAGTGGATACCATGTTGATGGTGAGCATAGAGCAGCTCTGTTGGGAACGTGGGATGAGAGAGGCATGGACTTAGGTAATGTGCATGTATTTGGTTAGGGTATTTTTGTATGAAACTGTATTATTACTTTGATTCTGAAGAGTATTTCCCTAATTGCATTTATACTTGTAGAATTATTTAGGGTAGTCTTGTGTTTACTTAATGTGCTGTCTGTAATCTATGTACAAACTTGAAAGTGCTATATTTTTTAATGTTTAGGATCTTAAAACATCAAGGGGTCTATTTGAAGAAATGAAGAAAACAGCAAACAACAATGTGGTACAGGTAATAATTTATTCCCAAGAAACTGCATTTGGTTAAATTGGCATTTTATTTCAGGGTTTCTGTGCTGATATATTTATAGTAAAAATTAGAGATGGTACTTTGAACACTGTCCTGAAATCTCTTTGAGATATTTAATGATACACTTATTCAGGCAGAGTACATACTTACTAGGCAGCTTTGTCAAATGATATTAAGAAATAAAAAAGAAAAAAAGTAAATCTAAAGAGCTAGAAAAAAATACTCCATTTAGATTAGCCGTTTTTGAGTTTGGTTTCATTCTTTTGAGTGACCTTTTGAAAATATACCTTCAAATAACAGTAGGAAAGTAGATCAGGGTCTCCGTTTTGTCTGTTGAGAACTGTTATTAGACTCAGCTTTGGAAGTGGAGCAAAAAGTTTGAATATGATATTTTTTACTTTAATTTTCCATTATGCTATTTTTGGATGCTTTTTTAATGAAGCAGAGTTGGGGTTTAATAGGGGTATTTGAGTATAGTCTCAAACCAGAGGGTGGGAGGAGAGGTACTCAAGACTTACGGAACTTTGGTACAGGCTTCTCTCGGAAGAGATGACAAGTTTTGAAGTTTTATAACACTTGTTACCTCCAGTGTTCTCTGTAGAACTATACTATAATCATAATTTTCCTCTTCCCCTAGGTGATTGACTGGGTGTTAGAAAAGGCAAGCAAGAAGTGATGAACTGTCTGTACGTCAGTTCCAGGCTGGGTGGAGCTGTTGTTTACTACTTCATGCCTTAGAAAACTGCACACAAAATTTTCATTTTACTCAAAGAATAGATGCTACATTTCTAAAGAGGATCCTTAGTGTCCTAAATCTATATAGTTTTAGTGATGCTCAGTTAATGGAGTTTTTAATTATTGCACTTATTCTTATAGTTTCACTGTATTTTAAGTTTTTAAGTTATTTTTTATGTTTTAAAATTTTTACTCTTGGTTATTTAATTCCAATAAACAAATATTTCTTTACTTGTGGATCCCATGTCTTTGTTACTAGGCCCGCTTGCATTCCTGCCCTTCCATGTGTTCCAACAGAAATACTGGTCCTGCCCAGAGCCACTGCTTTTGGAAATAGTAACATTTATTTAGGCTCAAAAGTGGAATAAAAGGAGTAGTGATTGTGAAAATAAGATGTAATGAAAGTGATTCTCAAGTAGATTCTCAGGAAAAAATGAAGCAAAACCTCCCATGGTAGAAAGCCTGGAAGATTAGGGGATATGAAAGTGGAAAAGTTACCAACATCACACTTTCTAGATGTAACTGCCGGTAATATTATCAAATGTGCGTTTATGATTGTCTTTAAATACTCTGAGAGTTCAAATCACACAGCATATTTTTGTCTCTGCGTGTGTCACTCTATAACCTTTTCAGTGCAGTTCTTTATGGCTTTGCTTTCTGGAGTTTCAGCTGACTATGGCCAACCACAGTCAGAGCTGCTAAATGAAAAGCAGTAAATGGCAGGTTGTTGTGTGTGAAGTCCCATGCCATATGTCTCCTTCCTTCTAATGACCCCTTTGTCTAGCAGTTTCATGCTGTATGTGCCACCCATCTGCCCATCACTTAGAAGCTGAATTTGCTGAGACCTGCTGCTCCTGTAAAGCAGTACAGGGTTCAGTCAGCCTTATTTTACTTGACAAAGGTTCCCAGGGCACAGCAGTAGTGGCAATGGTGATTTGGATGTGCCAGAGGTATCATCTGGTTCTGCCTTTAATTGCAAAGGTAAAAATTGCCATCGCAGTAAGATCAGAAAAGACCATATGCTAAGGTTGCCAAGATCTTAGAAACAAATCTTCTGTATGTTAAAGGAAAAGAAATATGTGGAGAATTTGTTGGTGCACATTGTAAAAGTATGGCAACTGTGATTGTTTAATGAAGTTGAAAAATTAAATTTGTGCATGTATGTATAGGAAAAAGACAGTGTACATAAGGATTAATATCTACTGATATTCCAAGGAGACTAGGAAAAATGTGTTGTACAGATGGAGGCTCTGCTGTTTGTCATGAATTTAATACCATAGGCCACTATTTTAATAGTTATGTAATATAAGCTTAACAGAGTTTAATCCCTCATTATTGAACATGAAGTTTCAGGTTTTCCCCTATAATCATTAGCATTTTAATCATTCTTCCCAGTATATCACTGATTAGTACTACCAAGTTATATCTTTTTAGAAGTTTCGGCTCTTACACTTTTCCAAACTGCCTTCCAGAAGGATAAGTTTGCATTCCCATAGGTGGAATCCTTTGCTTTTCTTAAACACTGAAAAGAGTAAAGGTAAATTTCTGAAAACATTTATGTTGTTTATTCCTAGCTTTTGCCCATTTTTATTTTGAACACTTTGGCTTTTGCTTGCTAGTTTGGAAGAATTCTTACTTATCAAGGGCGTTAGGCTTTTGAAATTTTGTTTGGTGCTCAGAAATTTTTAGCTTTTATGCAGTCAGTTACCTTTTTTTTTTTTTTTTTTTCAGTCTCTTTCAGTTCTCTGTTAACCTAATGCACATGTGTTTTGATTGCTTATGCTGAAACCAAACTAAGATGTTCAAACAGGACTCTATATTCCTTAAAGCAGCTGATTTGAAATTCTCCCCTTTTACCTAAATTTTTCATTACATAGGATAATACAAAGAGTGAGAGAATATTTAAAGATTCTCTTTGATCATCAAAATTGTCTTAAATTTTTATACCAATAGGCTTTTCTGGTGTAAATGTATGAAACAGAGTAATAGACATTCATAATGTAAAAAGGACTAGCTACTTTTTCAGAACAGTAGAGTAGCACAAGTAATTTGAAAAGATTTATCTAGGAACAGAAAAATAGTCATAGGAAGGAAAACTTTTATAGCCTCAATTTCCTCATCTAAAAACAGAGAAACTAGTGCTGACTCCACAGAGATCATGGAGGATGATACTAATCCTTAACATTTATTATGGACTAATTATGCGCCAGATACTCTGCTAAGCATTTTACAAAGGTATCTCAGCACATGAGGACTATAGTTCCCATTTTAGAAATTAGAAATTGAAACACAGCAAAGTTAAGTGCTGTGTCCCAGGGTCATAGAGCTCAGAAGTTACAAAGCCAGAGGTAAACTTGGATTCCTTGAACACCTCCACCCAATTATGTTGTGCTGGATACCTCTAGTTGTGGCTTTACATGTCTACCCCTGGGTAGAGGGGGCAATTGGGGAATTGCCTCCATTGGACTGGCCTGTGACTATGTGGGGCTTTTTCTTCATTGTTGAGTGACGTGGGAGGGCCCAGCCCACTGTGGGTGGTGCCATCCCTGGGGAATGGTCTTGTATAAGAAAGCAGGCTGAGCACAGGCCAGGAGAGCAAGCCAGTAAGCAGCATTCCTTCAAGGCCTGTACTTTAGGTCCTACTTCCAGGTTCGTGCCCTGAGTTCCTACTTTGAGCTCCCTCAAAGGGAACTGTGAACAGGGAGATAGAAGATAAAATAAACCCTTTCCTCCCCAAGTTTGTTTTGGTCAGTGTTTTTATCACAGCAAAAGAGAAGCTAACTAAGAAATTGGTACCAGGAGTGGGGCGTTGACTGTGAAGAACCTGTTCATGTGTGTTTTTGGAGGAATGTGGAAGTCTTTGGAAATTTGGACCAGAAAAGTGGTTGATTGCTGTAAGCAGAGCTTAATGGGTCATTCTAGTAGTAGCCTGGGAGAAATTAGTGCTGAGAACAGTGTAGCTCCATACTTAATAAGGACTTAAGCAGCAATTGGGATATTTTGGCAAAGAGTCTGGCAGGAGTCTGCCCACAGTCAAAAAGCTTGCCTAAATTGAAAAGCAATGGACTAATTTCTTTGACAGAGGATATTTCAAGATAGCCTAACATAGAAATAGTAGCAAAGCTATTAATGGTGAATATTATGCAGCTCTACAGTGAAAAAGAGCAAATGAGGTGGGGAGAAATTCAGAATGTACAGTTTGTTTTGAAAAAGAGTGCCAGGAAGATTAATGTTAGAGGATCCCTATGATAATGAGATTAAAGTGATGAAGAAGAGGCCTAGAGATTTTCATTTAAACAATGGAAAGTGCCTCCAGGGCAAGAACACACCCAGCTAAAACCCCAGCCTGTGAAAGGAAAATGCTGGAGGGATTTTCTTGTAGAAAACCACAGCACAGAAAAAAAAAAAAAAAAGCCACTAATGTAGATGAAGCAGGCTGGGGTCCATCCCAAAGTTGCAACCAAACTTGGCAGTGTTGTTCACCTGGTGCTGGCTTTAGAGGCCCAAGAGATAAAAGAGAGAAGGTGAATTGGTTTTTCCTCCAGAGTTTCAGAGAGCTGCTGAGGCCAGGCAGTGTGCAGCAGGGGCATTTCTGCATGAAGAAGGCCCTAATAGGCCAAGAGGCCCTGACAGGTCATTGCGTGAAGCTGTGAAGGTGAAACCTGGTTGGCAGTGGAGACCCCAAGAAGATGCCAGAGCTGTGAGACATCTTCCAAGGAGAGCTGCTTACAGGGAGTGGTACCAACTCAAGAGAGAGATATATGTTGCATGTAGAAAAGCTGGAGGGGCTGAGCCATCTAAGCCCTTTGGAAGTAAAGTCCCAGAAGTTAAACATGGAGCTATTGGGTTTGGTGTTTGCCCTGCTGGTTTTGAGTCTTGTTTTGATCTGGTATGTCTTCACCTTACCCCCATTCCTCACTTTTGGAATAGGAATGTGTATTCAGTTTCATTTTATGTTGGAAGCATGTAACTTGTCTTGATTTTACAGGTGCTTGCAGTTAAGAGATTGCCTTCACTTTGAACTGTGGACTTTTGAATAGTATCGAATAAAGACTATGGGGACTTTTAAGGTTGGACAAAATGCACTTTGCATTTTATATGGTCATGAGCCTATGGGGGCAGGGAGTAGAATGTGGTAGTTTGAATGAGGATGTCTCCCATAGGCTCCAAGTCACTCTCTGCTTCCTTACCTGCTTGACGATGTGCTCTCTGCTTCTGCTCTGGCCACCTCCTGCCTCCATTCTGCCCCACCATGACAGACTGCCTGGAACCACAAGCTCAAATAAATTCTTATTTCTGTAAGCTCCCTTGGTCACAATGTTTTATCACAGCAACAGAACAGTAACTAATACACATAGGATCTCTCAAGATGGTAAGCACGTTTCTGTTTCTCCTTTCCTCAAAGGATCCTAGTTTTTTTTAAAAAAAATATTTATTATTTATTATTTTATGTGTAGGAATATATTGTCTGCATATTTGTAAATGCACATGTGTCATGCATTGCCTGCAGAAGTCATAAGAGGGTGTCAGATCCCCTGGAGCTGGAGTTAGGACCATTGTTAGCCGCCATGTGCATGCTGGAAATTGAACCAGGGTCCTCTACAAGAGCAGCCAGTGCTTTTAACCATAGAGCCATCCCTCCAGCCCCGGATCCAATTTTTTCTATCATACATAACAAGACTATATGTCTTTATGAACCCAATTCTATGTAATGAATATGCACCAATAATAAATTTCAAAAAGTTAAAGATTTATATTAACATAAAAATTAAAAATATGGATTAATTAAAGGTTGACAAAAACTGTAAGGTGACACCACTTACAATATTTCTTTAAGTGAATTTGTAGTTTCAAGATTTTTAAATAAACTTTTGTGGTACTATTTTAAATTTATCATATGTAAATCATGCCAATCAGTATAAAAAATGAAAAGCAACTTCATAAACCATTTAGTTGAATTAAGCTCTACAAGCAGTGAACAATCCTTGAAAGCAAGGAATTATCCTATCTGTGTTACAAAGAACAGGTGAGATTAGATAGACAACTCTGTTTATGATTGTGTGTGCTGTTCTAGGTCAGCAGGGATCAAAAAGGCAAATTCCATGATAATACAAACTTTTATTTTCCTGTCCCATTTCATGCTGGATATGGCTTCAATAAAGATAGAGGAAGCTCTTTGTTGGAGAATACAATTGTAGGAGAATTCTG